CAGGGGACGGGTAGCACCCACACCGCTCACCCCCATGCCCGCCACCCCACACCCCCCACAACCGCGGAACGCACGGCGGCACGGGAGCAATGGGCGGCACGGGGGGGGGGGGGGGGGTCGACGGTACAGCCGGGGCCGCGAGCGCCGTGCCAGGGCGCCGCGACGGAAGTGCAGGGGCCGCGCGCGCCTCGCCAGGGCGCCGCGACGGATCAGCAGGGGCCGCGCGCGCCTCGCCAGGGCGCCGCGACGGATCAGCAGGGGCCACGCGCGCCTTGCCAGGGCGCCGCGACAGGACGGCAGAGGGCCGCGCGCGCCTTGCCAGAGCGCCGCGACGGGACGGCAGGGGCCGCGCGCGCCTTGCCAGGACGCCGCGACAGGACGACAGGGGCCGCGCGCGACACCCCAGGGCGTCGCGACGGACGGGCGGGGGGCGCGCGCGGCTCCCTGGGGCGCCGCGACGGAACAGCGGGGGCGGCGCGCCAGGAAGGAAAGAGGCCGCGCGCCCCGGGGCGCGCGCCAGAGAGAAAACTGCCGCGCGCGTCCAGCGCGCGGCGGGATAAAAATTACGTCGCACTGTCAGAATGTTATAATTGTCTAGCCTGCAGTGGGGTACTCCATAGTGAGTACAGCCCAATTAGGGTTTGCTATATGTATCCAACTGCTTGCTAGTGAAACCCCTCCTTTCTTCATTCTTGTTTCGTACTGCTAGTTCTGACATGGTTTCAGAGCAGGTTGACCCCCTTGGGTCGATCCTGTGGGTGGGCCCACCACCTAACTGCTTCCGCTGCTGTTCTGCTTCTCGCGCGGCGGTTTTCTACACGGTGGATCCGCGCGCGCCCCCCCTGCCATCCCGTCGCCATTCGTGGCGCCCTCTCCCGTCGCCCGTCGTGGCGTCGCGGGGGCCGCGCGTCCCCCCCATCCCGTCGCCCGTCGAGGCGCCTAGGGGGGCGCGCGTCCCCCCCCTTCTGTCGCCCGTCGTGGTGCCACGGGGGCCGCGCGTCCCCCCCCCCCCCCGTTCGCGTCGTCACGTCGCGACGCTCTGGGGAGCCGCACGCGGCCCCCGATTCCCCGTCGCGCTGCCCTGGGGAGCCGCGCGCGACCCCCCGCTGCCCCGTCGCGCCGCCCTGGGGAGCCGCGCGCGGCCCCCTGCTGCCCCGTGGTGGCGCCCTGGGGGCCGCGCGCCGTCCCCCCCGCCGTCCCCCGCGCTCCTACCCCTTGCAACCCGTTTTAGGGTTTGGGGGTGAGGAGTGTGGGGGTGGCGGTTGTGGGGGTGCCCGTTGTGTGCGCCGTCCCCTACTCCTCCTCCTCCTCCGTCTCCCGCTGCTGCAGCTGCCGCTCAGGGGGGTGTGTGTGTGGGGAGCCGAAGGAGTGGTGCTAGGGGGGTGAAGGGGGAGTGGAGCTAGGGGCGCAGCAGTGGGTGTGTGAAAGGGGCGTGGGACTGTTGGGGGAGGTTGTGTGGAGGTAGCTGTCGTGTCGCCTACAGCGCCTGTAGTCCGTCGCCCTTGCTTCGGTAGCCAGTGAGCCTGTTGCACCAGTCGCCAGTGGGTCCGTTGCTCCTGCCGCTCGTCTTAGCCGCGGAGCCAGTCACTCCAGTAGTCCGTCGCCCTTGCTTCGGTAGCCACTGAGTCAGCAGCTCCTGTGCCCGTGCCTCTGCAGCTTCAGTCGTTGCCTCCCATCTTCTCTCCTTCCACAGTTCCTCCTCCTCCTCACTTGCCCGCTGTGATTACCTCTAGCTTTGCTTATTATTGTGAACTCCTGCTATGCCTGCTCATTGTGCTGATTACACCCCACTTTGGCTATGGGGGTGTGTCAGAATGTTATAATTGTCTAGCCTGCAGTGGGGTACTCCATAGTGAGTACAGCCCAATTAGGGTTTGCTATATGTATCCAACTGCTTGCTAGTGAAACCCCTCCTTTCTTCATTCTTGTTTCGTACTGCTAGTTCTGACACGCACGCCACGGGGCGCGCGACAGACCGAGTAGCAGCGGAAGCAGGTAGGTGGGCCCACAGGCCAAGAGCGTAAATGCTCTGTTACCATGTCAGAATAGTAGCGAGAATGAGCAAATGAGGGGTTGGACTAGCAACAGTTGGGATACAAATAGGAAACCCTAAGGGGCCGTACTCACTAAAGAGTACCCCACTGTAGGCTAGACAAGCATTATAACCTGACAGAATGCACCGTAAGGAGTCACGTGGCAAGTTCATTCTGCTTGTCGCCTACGTCGACGACCTTCTCTACACCGGCGACGACACGGAGCTTCTGGATCGGTTCGAGGCAGATATCAAGGAGAAACTTGAAGTGACCATCAACCACAACGCCACGCAATTCCTGGGCCTCAACATCACCCAGTCCGCCACCTCCATCCACCTCTCTGCCGCCAAATACGCATAAACACTCGCGAAGAAGTTCGCCGTCGCACCGATCAACCTCACCACCCCCTTCCGCACTCCTCCTCCTAATCACGAACCAGATACCACACCGCTCTCAATCGAAAATCATCGGCTCTATCAGCAGCAGCTGGGGTGCCTCTTGTTCGCCTCCGTCACGTGTCGGCCCGATCTCTCCTACGTCGCAAGCCAGCTCGCACAGTACCTGAAGCGACCTGAAGGGGAGAATCTACTTGATCTACGCCGAGCACTTCAATACTTCGTTTCTACTCCTGACGTCGGACTCACCTACGAAGCTAACCTCACCGCTACCCTGCAGCTTCATGGCTACGTTGACGCAGAACACGCGGGAGACATTGACAACAGACGCTACCGCACAGGATTCATTTTTCAACTCCAACCTGCTGGACTCATCTCTTGGAACTCCCAAAAGCAGGAGCTCATCACGCTTTCATCAGCCGAAGCTGAGTTCATCGCCGCCAGTGCAGCTGTTTGCGAAGGACTGTACCTGATGGAGCTCCTGAAGGAAGCGAAAGTGACGATGAACGGAGACTTCACGAACAAGCTCGGCTTCGTGAACCGCACGAAACACATCGCACTCCGTTACTTCTTCGTCAAGGACGAGATCGACAAGGGCAAGGTCAAACTCACGTATTGCCCAACTGGTGATATGGCAGCAGACTTCTTGACCAAGAAGCTACCACGTCAGAAGTTTCAGCACTGCACCGACCTCTGCGGGATCTCGAAGAAATCCCACGTGGCTCACCTTCAGGAATGAAGGGGAGTGTTGAAATAACCGAAATGTTATAGTAACAATCAGGCCCTACGATATCAGGAATTTTCCCCTGAAATTCCTGATTTTCAGCCTACTTTTGTGTACCTACCCTGATTTTTCAGTGTGTAGATTTTTCTGAGACTGATTTTTCAGCCTTCATTTCATAGTTAACACTGAGTTTTCAGTCTTTTATCGAAGTGCACACTGAATGCACATTCTAATTCCTTCCTGAAAAGTCCCGAGGTGACCAGCACTTAAAGCTCGCGTCTCATATTTACAAGCGTTTAACACTCGGTTGGGTTTGCACGTCCACGATTGGTTCTGCCAGAATCGCACCCCAGCTCGTCACTGATTTTGTTGTTCATCAACTAGTCACGGAACCCAACCAAGTCACGAAACACTCTCAAGTGTAAAACGGAAAAAAATCTGAGACGCAACCTTGAAACATTTTACTTGAAAAGTATCGGCTTCGAGTGTCTCAGTTGTTAGTAGAATCGCGTCGAAGGGTAAAGTCCGTGGATCGATTCCCTGGGTAGGGATGAGTCGTTACAACCTAGACCTTTTTCGCAGATAATGTATGTAAGAAATTCAGTGTTGTTTTTTTAACAACCCTGAAAAATCAGGCTTTTTTTTTAGGAACACTGAAAATCAGCCTTTTTTTCACAGGGACCCTGATGCATCAACGTCCCTAAAAGTGAATCTGAGGGCCTGGTAACAATCCCGAAGGATCTCCACTCACGCGTCACTTCATAACGAAGCAACGAGTCTGTACCAGTACCGCAACAGCTCATATAGAGCATGCGGAAGATCGAGAGTCACTTGAAGGTCAACAGTCGAAGACAGTCAACGGTCGTGACTCTTGAATGTCCAGTAACCGCACTTGGTAGTTACGCGATGCAACATGGTAACTGTCAAGAAGATCAATAGTCGTGGTTACTTTAGCAATGCAATTCAGTTAATAAGGGAATGTACCCCTCAGAGTACATGGCTAGCTAGGATTGCTATTTCTAGACTTGTACTCCTATCTTATAATCATCTTGTTCTCTTTCAACTTTATTAACAAGGTCATTAGAGAGACTTCATCGTCTTCTCTCAAACTTCACAGACTTATCCTGTCCACTACGATCCTTCAGTTATAACAGCGGTGATGACTCGGTAAGGACTCATTTGAGCGTACAGGTACATCATCGAATATGTACTCTCTAAAACTATATATTCTCTTGTAATCTATCTTCTAAAATAATTATTGTTCTCATTTCACAGACTTCTGCTTCATTGCATTTCTCAGCCCAACAGAGAGAATCATTGATTTCAAGAAGGGAAAATTACAAATATCATAATATGTGCTATGATACTATACTTTATCTGAATTTTGTAGGGTGTGTTTGTTGGATATTGGTTTTCTTTTACGTTGAGATACACTGAACAATGTATACATCCACAGTCATAACTGAGTTAGATACGAGTTGGTCGTATGGGGTTTTGACAAATTATGCGACTAGACCTACCGTGTCATCGGCAGGATCTGTTTGGCAGCAATGTTGCTGCGAATGACGTGGCGCGACCTGGTTTGAAGGGGAGCAAGTGCTTGCACCAATGACATTCACTTTTCCCGTAAGTAGTTTGCTGTTGGCGCTTTTCAAGTGTTGCGTTGCCGATCTTTCTTGTTCCCCCGGGCTAACCGCCAACTTGGTTCATCCCCCCCTCAACCCAGTCATCCGTGACCCCCCTGCTCCTGGGAACTCTCAATTCGCCGACTTTGCTTGCGTGGCTTCTCACCCTTCTTTCAGCGCGCCTCTCTTTCGACCGCAGTGGCGTGTAACTTAGCTTTCCACGATGTTTGTGGGTAGTCCCGGCAGTACCGGCAGCGGCCACTCCATCCGCCTGGGGACCAACGAGGATACGTCGCAGCACATGCCTGTGCTCTTCCCCACCTATGCCCAGCAGCAGCAGCACGTGCAGCAGCAGCCGCAAGAGCGTGTACCTGACGCGCGACGGGCTGCGCCGCAACCGGCGGCGCCAATGCGGCCGGCGGCGCAGGTGAAGATGCGGCTGGGCACCAACGAGGACTTCTCGCAGTACATGCCGCCCATCCACCGCGCCTCCGCCGGTCCCGCTGCGCCTCAAGCCAGCCCTTTCGGCGCGGCGGACGTGGCGTCCATGCTGGGCGCGCGCGTCGACGCCATGACGATTTCGCCGGGGGGGCCGCCCAGGCGGACCAGCTTCGAGGCCAGTCCCAAGGCGAGCCGCGACGCGTTGGCGGCGGTGGAGCGCTCGCAGTCGCACGACAGTCGTGGCCTCGCGGCCGGCCTGCGCGGCAGCGCGCCAATGGCGGGCGGCAGCCCGCGGAAGGACGGGTTGGCGCCTGGGATGGCGGGGTCCCCATCGTACGGCGCGCGACCCTTCCCCGATAGAGGCGTCGGGGTGCGTTTGCCGCACCTCCACCGTCTCCATACCCTCTCCCCCCTACTCGCTCCGTTTCTTACCCTGGCTTGCTCCCCTCCCTGGCTTGCTCCCCTCCCCGTTCCTCCTCTTTTTCTCTCTTCAGTGCGCTCTGCTCCCTTCGTCCCCCCCCTGACCTTTCCTTCTCGAACCAGTTCCCTGCGCGCTCTGCGCACTGCGGTGTTAGTCCGCGCGCACTGCTGCGCACTGCCGTGTTAGTCCGCGCGCACTGCTGCGCTCTGCGCGCCGACCTTAACGGCGCGCTCTCCCGCGTCGTGCTGCAGCGCCTCCCCCAATGCCGCCCCCTCTCCACCCGCTCCCCTCCCCCCCTCCTCCCGCTCCCCTCCCCCCCTCCTCCCGCCTCCAGTTTCCATCCGCCGCAGGCTCTCAGGGCATGCGCGCCGCGCCGTACGCGGCGCGTTCCGCTCAGACCAGCAGCCCGCCAGCCGCGCACGTAGCCGCGGCGAGGGGGTCGGGCGGGGGAATGGGGTCGGGCGGGGGAATGGCGTCGGGCGGGGGGACGGGGTGGGGCGCGGGGAGGCAGCAGCAGGCGCCGATGCCGCTACCGGGGCGGCAGGCGTCGGGGGGGGCGGGGGGCGCGTCGTGGGACAACATGGGCATGAGCATGGGGTCGAACGTGGGCCTCAGCTCGTCGTGGAGCGACTTCGACACGCGCTCCATCGGCAGCGCGGGGGGCAGCAGCGCGCGCCTCACGGAGGGCGGGGGGGGCGCGGAGTGCCGGCAGTTCACACTGGCGCAGCTGGCGGCCGCCACCGACAACTTCAGCGACGCCAACCTGCTGGGCCGCGGCGCCTTCGGCATGGTCAGCCCGCACTGCCTTGCCCCTCAACGCCGCCTCCCCCCCCGCACTGCCTTGCCCCTCAATGCCGCCTCCCCCCCCGCACTGCGTTGCCCCCCAATGCCGCCTCCCCTCCCCCTTCCAACCTTCTCCCCCCATCACCCCCTTCTGTGTGGGGCGGCAAGGGGCGAGCTGAGAGAGTCGCTGGACGCCGCTCTCAGCCGCAATGAACGCTCTTATAATACAAACAGCGCTGCCACTGCCCTCAATGGATGCTCGCTGTGCTGCACCCCGCATTCCTGTTTCCCTCTGCACCCTTCCGTATCGTTTCCGCCTTGGAAATTCTTGTTTCTCCCACCGTCCCCGTTCGATCGCCTATCAACGTTTCGCCCCCTGCCAAGCTTGGCTCCCCCGCCCCCTGCCAAGCTTGGCTCCCCCGCCCCCTGCCAAGCTTGGCTCCCCCTCCCCCTGCCAAGCTTGGCTCCCCCTCCCCCTGCCAAGCTTGGCTCCCCCTCCCCCTGCCAAGCTTGGCTCCCCCTCCCCCTGCCAAGCTTGGCTCCCCCTCCCCCTGCCAAGCTTGGCTCCCCCTCCCCCTGCCAAGCTTGGCTCCCCCTCCCCCTGCCAAGCTTGGCTCCCCCTCACCCTGCCAAGCTTGGCTCCCCCTCCCCCTGCCAAGCTTGGCTCCCCCTCCCCCTTCCCAGCTTGGCTCCCCCTCCCCCTGCCAAGCTTGGCTCCCCCTCCCCCTGCCAAGCTTGGCTCCCCCGCCCCCTGCCAAGCTTGGCTCCCCCGCCCCCTGCCAAGCTTGGCTCCCCCGCCCCCTGCCAAGCTTGGCTCCCCCTCCCCCTGCCAAGCTTGGCTCCCCCGCCCCCTGCCAAGCTTGGCTCCCCCTCCCCCTGCCAAGCTTGGCTCCCCCGCCCCCTGCCAAGCTTGGCTCCCCCGCCCCCTGCCAAGCTTGGCTCCCCCTCCCCCTGCCAAGCTTGGCTCCCCCTCCCCCTGCCAAGCTTGGCTCCCCCTCCCCCTGCCAAGCTTGGCTCCCCCTCCCCCTGCCAAGCTTGGCTCCCCCTCCCCCTGCCAAGCTTGGCTCCCCCTCCCCCTGCCAAGCTTGGCTCCCCCTCCCCCTGCCAAGCGCCAGTCATTCACCTGTTTGCCCCCAGAATTTCCGCCCACGTTTCATCCGGAGCCGCCCTGGATGTGTGCGGCCACTGTAAAGGGGGCGCGGCGACAGGGGTGGTTAGGATGGCTGTGGTGCGGCGACAGGGGTGGTTAGGTAGGGGTGGTTAGATAAGGGATAGACAGGGGTGGTTAGATAAGGGACAGTCAGGGGTGGTTAGATAAGGGACAGGGGTGGTTAGCTAAGGGACAGGGGTGGTTATATAAACCACGAGACTAGAAGCCCAAAGGCAAATCACATTATCCACGTTCAATGCCACACCACTCCTGCGTTTTGCAGAGCTAACACCAAGCGCACACATCAAGCACGCACACAGAGAGCATGTGTACTGCCCGCAAGTATAGTAATCGCCTTAACACTCCCCCCCCCTTCACTCCTCTCCCCCCCTCTTCACTCCTCTCCCCCCCCTTCACTCCTCTCCCCTCCCCTGCACTCCTCTCCCCCTCCCCTTCACTCCTCTCCCCCTCCCCTTCACTCCTCTCCCCTCCCCTCCCCTTCACTCCTCTCCCCCTCCCCTTCACTCCTCTCCCCCTCCCCTTCACTCCTCTCCCCCTCCCCTGCACTTCTCTCCCCCTCCCCTTCACTCCTCTCCCATCCCCCCTGCACTCCTCGCCCCCACGCACTGCGCGGCTGGCAGGTGCACAAGGGGCGGCTGCTGGGGTGCCAGGTGGCGGTGAAGCGGCTGGAGGGCGGGGGCTGGCAGGGGCCCAGCGAGTACCGCATGGAGGTGGAGGTGCTGAGCCGCATGCGCCACCCGCACATCGTGCTGCTCATGGGTCACTGCCCCGACGCCATGTGCCTCGTCTACGAGTACCTCCCAGGTGGCTCGCTGCAGGACCACCTAAACCCCGCCGCCCGGGGTGGTGGGCGGCGGCCTTTGTCTGTGGGGGAGCGGGTGCGGGTGGCATCAGAGGTGGCATCAGCGCTGCTGTTCCTGCACCACCACGACCCGCCCATCGCCCACCGCGACCTCAAGCCCGACAACGTGCTGCTGGACGGCAACCGCGGCTGCAAGCTCGCCGATGTGGGCCTCGCGCGGCTCATCGCGGAGGACGACAACGTGACGGCGCGCGTGCGAGGCACAGCGGGGTACATCGACCCGGAGGAGGTGGTGACGTGTGAGATCAGTGTGCTGTCGGACATCTACGCGCTGGGCCTCATCATGCTGCAGCTGCTCACGGGCGAGCCCCATGTCAAGGGCGTGCAGCGCCTGCTCGTCGACCTCGTGGGCAGCGGCGCCTACAACTCGGGCGCGGCAGGGCTGGCGCGCGCCGTGGACATTGTGCTGGCGCGCCTCGACACGGCAGCGGGCGAGTGGGAGCGCGAGGTGGCCGTGGAGTTTGCGGGGCTGGCGCTGCGCTGTGCGGACCGGCAGCGGGCGCGGCGGCCAGATCTGGACCGAGAGTTGCAGCCGGCGCTGGTGGCCATGGCGGAGCGCTGCAAGGAGGCGGCGGATCGCCGCCGCGGCCACATGGACTCGCAGCTGCTCTGCCCTCTCAGTCAGGTGCGATGCCTGCTCTCCCAGGTGAGATGCCCGCTCTCCCAGGTGAGATGCCCGCTCTCCCAGGTGAGATGCCCGCTCTCCCAGGTGAGATGCCCGCTCTCCCAGGTGCGATGCGCTGCAGTGTTACTCTCCCTCTAAACTTCACTGCTCTCCCACATTCCTCACCTCACCTCTCATGGGTTGTCCCCTTGCCCTCTGGCAGGAGCGCATGAGTGACCCGGTGGTGGCGGCAGACGGCTTCACATACGAGCGCAGCAGCATAGAGGAGTGGCTCAAGACACGCGACACTTCGCCCGTCAACGGTCAGCCGCTGCCACACAAGTTCCTCACACCCAACAACACTCTGCGCATGCTGCTCAACTCCCAGGGCTAGACCACAACCCTACCACAACCACAACGCCTCGTGTCTTGGGAACCACCACACCACTGGCTGTGCAAATGTTGTTAAGAGGTGCATGGAACGGGAGCACGAGATGGGGCTTGGGTACCATGTTTGCTGCAGATTCCTTGATCGGTTCCTGGCGATCACAACTTTTGATCGTTATGTTTTTTTTGGGATGTATGTACAGTCTACGGTGTTAGAATAAGAAAGGATATTGGACAGGATAAGTCTGTTAGAGTAGGTAGCGGAGGAGGGTATTTTGTAGTGGGAAGTTCCTGCCTAGAGTATTTAGGTTTTTAACCGTTTTGTTATTTAGTCCTTCTCATTCACATCGTCACAGCTTCTTTGTTCCTTATTCCGCGCCCTCTTTGAACTACTCATAACGGAGGTCGTGAATAGTTGTCGGTGACACTGACGGTCGGTGAACGAACGTCTGGTTACATCAAGGTTTTCTCATGCAGTCATGACTCATCACCCTCAGCTGGTGGTTGTGTTGCCTGCGCTGGTTGGGAAAGCGATGAGTGGTTTGGTCCCTGGTTCGGTCTGGTTCGAGGCACGGTAAACAGAGGCAGATTTCCAGCAGATGAGAGAAGAGATCCAAATCCACGGCACGGATGTGTTCTGAAGGTGAAATCAGTAAGGCTCGGGGTATGGTGGCAGGTTTGGGGAAAAGTTGGGTTTGGAAAGGCATGGATTATGTCAACGGAGTTCCCAAGGCTGGCACCAGGCAGAAGGAAAGCCAGACACATGATGAAATGCTAGCCATGCGTCGGGACTCGGGACTCGGGAAGGCATGTTTCAGCAGGAATCGCACCAGACATACCTCTGCAGCAGGCCGTAGGTAGGAGAATCGCAGGAGGCATATCTGTTGGGCACAACAGGAACTGCTCAAGCGATAATTTATCACTGCAGCAGGCATCAAGTCGCAGAGTCTCGACATATTTCCCTTAGTTATCGGTGTCGACTGCGGCAAGTTCAGAGCGTCGCTGCCTGACATCCTATGGATAGACACGACTCGAATAAGCTTAGCTTAGCTCCAGTAGTCACAACCCTAACTTGTCGAATCCACCTGCCGACTCGCGCTTCGTAATCTGCCGTCTTTTGAGTCGTTAGGTGTTGTCCCGTGCCGTCGCTCCCTAGAGGTGTTCCTATGGCACTTCTCGACAATCATCTCCGTAGCCCCAGCCGGGAATCAGCTTCTTCCCCAGCCTCATTAGCTTCTTGTAAATTATTAAAGCGCACCAGACTACGGCATAGCGAAAGCAGAAGACCGTCGTCGTTAGAATGTCAAGATTTCACGCGTCAACGCTACTCCACGCCATGGACACGACCTTGTCACGCGACTCCTTACAATCTCCGGAATCTTCTTTCCGCTAGCTCGGCAACGCCACTCTATGTCGCGGTGCTCGTGCTGTGCGCGTTTCGACCCGTCGACTCACAGAACTCTAACGACCGTACGTGAAACCCATAAATGCTGTGATTCTTATGTCGACTTCAAAAGTCATTTCCTGCTGTGCTCGCTTGACCCGTCGACTTACAGACCTCGTCTAACGACCGTTCTACGTAATAACTACAAACAATGTTTACCGTTCTACGTAATAACTACAAACAAGGTTTTCGGAATTTTCCGAGTCTTTTTTAGTGTTTTTCCTGGAGGCGATTCTGTTCGAAAGCGGGATGCGACGAGACGGCCGGTTGCGTGTGGATACATTGCTGGTAGTTCAGAAGAGCTGTCAAGTCTATACGGTCCAAGTTGGAAGCGAAAGACGGTTGTCTCAGTTTCGTTCAGGCTCCACGACGATTGGATAACCACTTGTCAGCTGTCGTATTGTCTCCGTTAGTCGTCGTCGGGATTTTGTCAGCTGCCGTGAATGATTCTGTCAGCCGTCTTGACGGCTCTGTTGGCAATGGTGACGGCTCCGTCAGCCATCGTTATGACTCCGTCAACCGTCTTGATGACTCTTGCCACCCTTCTTGACAAATGACTCGAATAGAAACAACGCCGGGAAGACCGCAACGGAAAGCTAGGGTTGCGGGCTGCTCTAGCGTAGATGCAAGGTGCTGAATCCCTCCGTTTAATTAAATAAGAGAAAAGCCAGATTCCGGCTCCACTGCTTGAAGCTTCTAAACATCCAAGGGGTTTGTTTGCCTTATTCACGCGCTTTTCACATTGCAAATAGTCACGCACGCATTCTTCTTTCTATCTTCCCTCCACTTATTTTGTTTCCCACCTCCAGTCTGAACCCCTCTCTCTTCCTTTCCTCTCAGCGTTCCTCTTTTCCCAAGCGTGGCTCTCGCCTCACGACGCCACATTCCGGACCTCACCTCACCCACCCTCCACTTCCCTTCACGCCACACACGTACATCCCAACCACTCTCAACCCATAGCCGTGGCAGGCGTGTCTCTCGCGGCGCTGGGCAGCAGTCTGGGCCCCACCAGCTCGCTCGTGTGGTCGCCGCCTCTGCTGTGCCTTTTTGAGTCGACTCAAACTTCCCCTCCTCCTCCCCCTTCCTCCCCCCCCCCTCCTTCCTTGGCCATGGTAGGCGTGTCTCTCGCAGCGCTGGGCAGCAGTTTGGACCCCACCAGCGCGCTCGTGTGGTCGTCACTTCTGCTGTGCTCGGGGTGGACCGTGGACCACTCTTGCAACCCATCACCCTCATATCTCAATGCTCCACTTCCCTTCGCGCCCCACACCTCCTTCCCAACCATGGCAGGCGTGTCTCTGGCGGTGCTGGGAAGCAGCCTGGACCCCAGCAGTGCGCTCGTGTGGTCGTCGCCGCTACTGTGCTCGGGGTGGACCAACTTCACGTGTAAAGACAACACCACCATCACAGGAATGTGCGTGTAAAGACAACACCACCATCACAGGAATGTGCGTGTAAAGACAACACCACCATCACAGGAATGTGCGTGTAAAGATAACACCACCATCACAGGAATGTGCGTGTAAAGACAACACCACCATCACAGGAATGTGCGTGTAAAGACAACACCACCATCACAGGAATGTGCGTGTAAAGACAACACCACCATCACAGGAATGTGCGTGTAAAGACAACACCACCATCACAGGAATATGCGTGTAAAGACAACACCACCATCACAGGAATGTGCGTGTAAAGACAACACCACCATCACAGGAATGTGCGTGTAAAGATAACACCACCATCACAGGAATGTGCGTGTAAAGACAACACCACCATCACAGCAATGTGCGTGTAAAGACAACACCACCATCACAGCAATGTGCGTGTAAAGACAACACCACCATCACAGCAATGTGCGTGTAAAGACAACACCACCATCACAGGAATGTGCGTGTAAAGACAACACCACCATCACAGGAATGTGCGTGTAAAGACAACACCACCATCACAGGAATGTGCGTGCGTGCAAAGGCAACACGAACTATGTGTGCATGCAAAGGCCACACCAGTGATAAAAGAACTGCCTGCGCAAGGCAACGCCATCATTATCAAACAAATGTGTTACGATCAAGGAGAATATCCATTCAGGCATAGCTTAACTTAGCGAGTCAAGGCAACAGGCGTTGCCATCATTTGGTCAAACTTACGAGAACTTAAGTTTTGCAGTCCTTGTTGCCGCATCCCCACGCCCTCTCCCGCCCTCCTGACAATTGAGAATTAGGAGGAAGGGAAACTGGGGAAGGGGGACAAGAGAGGGGGGTTCCATTCCATTATGTCAATCGTGCATTTTCTCCCTTCTCCCATCCCATCTGGCCTCCTCTCTCCTCTACCCGCCTCCCCTCTCTGCCCGCATTCCCCGTGCCTTGTGTGTTGTGCGGTGCAGCAATCTGGTGAAGATGCCACTCTCTGGCTCCCTGCCTCCCGACATCTCCAGATTCAAAAGCCTAGAATTCCTGTCAGTCACAATCCATGTCTTGTTTAGAAATTTTACTCACTTTCTTCTCCTCACCTAAGTCCAGTGCCAGTCCTTTGACTGCACGCACCACTATTCCTGTCTGTCACCTGCGCTCACCTCAACCCCTCCCTCTCACCGGCTCTCACCCCGTCCTCTCACCTGCACTCACCTCCTTCCTCTCACCTGCACTCACCTCCTTCCTCTTGCCTGCACCACGTTGGTAAGTTTCCATTTCCAACATCTCAGTGGTGTTGCTTTAGAAAGGTTGTTTTGCTCCTGACTCATGGATGCCTATACCGATAGTCCAGAGAGCGTTGTAGCGAGCCTTTCAGCATGGAAAACAAAAAAAGAATGGTGCAAAGTAATTTGGTGGACTTCGCTACCTGCTACGTTAACGGTTTGTCCTGCCATTGTTTCCTGATTGTGTAACAGTTTCTTTGTGCTGGTTTCCTGCATGTGCTGCTGCTCCTGGCAGGGTGATTCGGAGCTCCAGCATCTCAGGGCCATTGCCTGATGCAATCACTACCCTGAGGAACCTCAAGTACCTGTGAGTGTAATATCCTTTCCTTCATTGTGCTGCTCGTTCCTGGAGGTTGTGTCATGTGGACGTATGTCTTTTGTTTGGCATATGCCTAGGTACGTAACGTACGCATGTAGTGACTGGAAGGTGGAGAACAACGTTGAGTGGCAAGTTGTTATGCCTTTGACCAAAGAAGATTGGCAACCTACACGCGGTGTTTGCGCTGCACGCATATCGAATTCACCGGCATGCTTAGAATAGATAGATCCATGTATGCACTAAGAGATTCAGCGCAGAATAGATGAATCTTAACACGGTCTATTTCATAATATGAGATGAGAGGAAAGGTAATGGAGGTTGGATTTTTGCTGAGGCAGGCGGACACAGCAGAAGACATGCAGATTGTGTGGTTTGGCTGGCGAGGTCAAATGGTGTGGTGTGGGCATGGGAATGGCGTGGAAGGGAGGAAATAACACATGCCCGCCCGCTCATGCATTTCATTTCCAGGGCAAGCCCAATCTACTTTGCATAACCCGTGCACGGTGTGTTTTCCCCATCCTTGTTGCATGCACTGCAACATATCACCCATGCCTTTGCTTGCAGAGATTTGAGCTACAATCAGATATGGCCGCCTGTGCCAGCAGGCCTCTTCTCAATGCCAGACCTCAAGGGCATGTAAGAACAGTGTCAACTCTACTCTACAGTGTCGAGTAGAGTAGAGCGCTGCTTCGAGTTCGTTTGGTCGTTGTCGTGGCTTTCTTTGAGAGACACCTCAAAATAAACACACCCTGTCAGCGGGCAACTGGTTTTACCATGCGCTTTGAGTTATGCTGGTTTTAGACGCCTCACATCACAACCCGTCGCGCAGTTTCTTCCTCCCCAAACGTGCCCGCCTGCTGCTCTCACCCCTCTGCTAGCCCCGTGTTCCCTTGCCTCTCACCCCTCTGCTAGCCCCGTGTTCCCTTGCCTCTCACCCCTCTGCTAGCCCCGTGTTCCCTTGCCTCTCACCTGTCTGCTAGCCCCGTGTTCCCTTGCCTCTCACCCCTCTGCTAGCCCCGTGTTCCCTTGCCTCTCACCCCTCTGCTAGCCCCGTGTTCCCTTGCCTCTCACCCCTCTGCTAGCCCCGTGTTCCCTTGCCTCTCACCCCTCTGCTAGCCCCGTGTTCCCTTGCCTCTCACCCCTCTGCTAGCCCCGTGTTCCCTTGCCTCTCACCCCTCTGCTAGCCCCGTGTTCCCTTGCCTCTCACCCCTCTGCTAGCCCCGTGTTCCCTTGCCTCTCACCCCTCTGCTAGCCCCGTGTTCCCTTCTTGCCTCTCACCCCTCTGCTAGCCCCGTGTTCCCTTGCCTCTCACCCCTCTGCTAGCCCCGTGTTCCCTTGCCTCTCACCCCTCTGCTAGCCCCGTGTTCCCTTGCCTCTCACCCCTCTGCTAGCCCCGTGTTCCCTTGCCTCTCACCCCTCTGCTAGCCCCGTGTTCCCTTGCCTCTCACCCCTCTGCTAGCCCCGTGTTCCCTTGCCTCTCACCCCTCTGCTAGCCCCGTGTTCCCTTGCCTCTCACCCCTCTGCTAGCCCCGTGTTCCCTTGCCTCTCACCCCTCTGCTAGCCCCGTGTTCCCTTGCCTCTCACCCCTCTGCTAGCCCCGTGTTCCCTTGCCTCTCACCCCTCTGCTAGCCCCGTGTTCCCTTGCCTCTCACCCCTCTGCTAGCCCCGTGTTCCCTTGCCTCTCACCCCTCTGCTAGCCCCGTGTTCCCTTGCCTCTCACCCCTCTGCTAGCCCCGTGTTCCCTTGCCTCTCACCCCTCTGCTAGCCCCGTGTTCCCTTGCCTCTCACCCCTCTGCTAGCCCCGTGTTCCCTTGCCTCTCACCCCTCTGCTAGCCCCGTGTTCCCTTGCCTCTCACCCCTCTGCTAGCCCCGTGTTCCCTTGCCTCTCACCCGTCTGCTAGCCCCGTGTTCCCTTGCCTCTCACCCCTCTGCTAGCCCCGTGTTCCCTTGCCTCTCACCCCTCTGCTAGCCCCGTGTTCCCTTGCCTCTCACCCCTCTGCTAGCCCCGTGTTCCCTTGCCTCTCACCCCTCTGCTAGCCCCGTGTTCCCTTGCCTCTCACCCCTCTGCTAGCCCCGTGTTCCCTTGCCTCTCACCCCTCTGCTAGCCCCGTGTTCCCTTGCCTCTCACCCCTCTGCTAGCCCCGTGTTCCCTTGCCTCTCACCCCTCTGCTAGCCCCGTGTTCCCTTGCCTCTCACCCCTCTGCTAGCCCCGTGTTCCCTTGCCTCTCACCCCTCTGCTAGCCCCGTGTTCCCTTGCCTCTCACCCCTCTGCTAGCCCCGTGTTCCCTTGCCTCTCACCCCTCTGCTAGCCCCGTGTTCCCTTGCCTCTCACCCCTCTGCTAGCCCCGTGTTCCCTTGCCTCTCACCCCTCTGCTAGCCCCGTGTTCCCTTGCCTCTCACCCCTCTGCTAGCCCCGTGTTCCCTTGCCTCTCACCCCTCTGCTAACCCCGTGTTCCCTTGCCTCTCACCCCTCTGCTAGCCCCGTGTTCCCTTGCCTCTCACCCCTCTGCTAGCCCCGTGTTCCCTTGCCTCTCACCCCTCTGCTAGCCCCGTGTTCCCTTGCCTCTCACCCCTCTGCTAGCCCCGTGTTCCCTTGCCTCTCACCCCTCTGCTAGCCCCGTGTTCCCTTGCCTCTCACCCCTCTGCTAGCCCCGTGTTCCCTTCTTGCCTCTCACCCCTCTGCTAGCCCCGTGTTCCCTTGCCTCTCACCCCTCTGCTAGCCCCGTGTTCCCTTGCCTCTCACCCCTCTGTCGGCCCCATAATGATTCCTCTTACCCCTTGCTGCCATTAGCCCCGCCACTACGCTGTTGCCTCGTGCCTCTCTGCCTCCCTCCTCACCTTTCTGCTGCCCCTGACCAGCAGGTCGCAACATGGGCAACAACTGGCTGACCAATCAGACGACCGTGCCCAACATGCCCAGGACGCCCACCGCCCTCCTCCCTCAACTGGCCTGCTGCCTCTCACCGCTCTCCCCTGCAGAACCCTCTGGTGCTTCTCATGCTTCCGTGAACCCCCCTGCGTGTCTGCAGGCTGCTGGGCAACAAGTTAACCACCAATCAGACGGTGCCCAATCAGGCCAAGGCACCCGCCGCCTCCCTGGACGTGCTGTTGAGAGATTCGTTAGGACTCCAAAGACAGTTTCACCCGCTCGCACCTGCATGCCGCTCCCCCGTTTAACTGCCTGCAGGCTGCTAGCTAGGCAACAACTGTGCCCAACAAGCGCACCCGCCTCCCTGAGCCGTCGAGAGATTTTAGCGAATTTCAAAGAAATTTTGAACATTTTCCACCCCTGCCGCACCTGCACACCTCTCACCCCATCCCTCTCGCTGCCTGCAGGCTGCTGGGCAACAACTGGCTGACCAATCAGACGGTGCCCAACTTGGCCAAGGCATCCGCCGCCTCCCTGGACGTGCTGTTGGGAGATTCTTTAAAACTCCAAAGGGAGTTTCACCCGTTCGCACCTCCCTCCCTCTCACCCCTCCCCCTGCCTGCAGGCTGCTGGGCAACAACTGGCTGACCGACCAGCCGGTGCCCAACTTGGCCAAGGCGCCCTCCTCTCTGAACATGGTGTCGCTGCGCACCGTGAATGCCACTGTGGACAAAAGTTCCCAAGTCGGCAAGTCTACTCTTGAGTGAGTCCGTGCCTTTGAATGGAATGGGCATGCCTATGAATGGAATGGGATGGGGCATGCCTTTGAATGGAATGGGGCATGCCTTGGAATGGAAAGGGGCATGCCTTGGAATGGAATGGGGCATGCCTTGGAATGGAATGGGGCATGCCTTGGAATGGAATGGGGCATGCCTTGGAATGGAATGGGGCATGCCTTTGAATGGAATGGGGCATGCCTTGGAATGGGGCATGCCTTGGAATGGGGCATGCCTTGGAATGGGGCATGCCTTGGAATGGGGCATGCCTTGGAATGGGGCATGCCTTGGAATGGGGCATGCCTTGGAATGGGGCATGCCTTGGAATGGGGCATGCCTTGGAATGGGGCATGCCTTGGAATGGGGCATGCCTTGGAATGGGGCATGCCTTGGAATGGGGCATGCCTTGGAATGGGGCATGCACTCAACCTTCCTCTGACACTGTGTACTCCTTGTCTTGAGGCATGAATGAGCAAGGGTCCGAGCTGAGCCGAGCTCGCTCGCTTCGAGCCGTGACGAGCCGGCCAGTGGATGAGCCATGCCGGCCGCTCTAACCCGCCTCCTTTCAATTCCCCCCTTCCTCCTTCCCACTGCGTACTTCCTCCTTTTCCCAAACCCCACACCAGCCGCCTCTATTGCAAGGCAACCCACAGATGTGCGACATGGTCACAGGCTGGCGCTCAACTTCTTTCCTTAACTATCCCCCCCACCCCTCTCGCCCTTCTCCCCCCCTCGTGCCCGTTTCTTCCTCCCCTTCCCACCCATCCCCCCATCAGCCTATACGGCAACCCACAGATATGTGACATAGCCACGGGCAGTTCAACGACTCCTGCAAGTGGACTTGCGCCCCCTTCTGCCTTAACGCCTCCCTCTGCCGTCCCTGCCCCACTTCTTCCTCCCCTTCCCCCCCACCAGCCTGTACGGCAACACACAGATATGTGACAAATCCACAGGCAGCCCACTCAACCTCTCCACCACCAGCGGGCAGTTCAACGACTCGTGCAAGTGGACCCGCGCGCCCTTCTGCCTCAACACACGCTGCCTCCCCGCACAATACATCGACCGCCCCACCTTCCTCCGAGCGTACCCTCCTTCCAACTGCGTCTACGGGCAAGGGCCCATGACTGCCCCGCTCTTCCCCCCTGCCTCGACTGCCGCAGCTGCCGCCTCTGCCACCGCCCAGGCTTTCACCCAAGCGTCTTCTCCCAGCGCGTCACTGCCTCCTGGGGGTTCCCTCCCTCCTGGGAGCGCCGGTCCACCTGCTGGTGCTCCTGGTGGTGCCGCTGCTGGCGGGCGTGGTGGGGGGTCAGCAGCCTCGGCGGGTGATGCGGTGGTGCCGACAGGCCCGGGGGCGTGTGTGTGTGTGGGCGGCGATCAGTTCTACGAGTTTGACCTGCTCTGCGCCAACAGCACCATACAGGCGTGGAGCGATGAGTACTCGCAGGTTGTCTCTGAGAAGGTGTCTCAAGGGTTTGGTATGAAGCTGAAGAGGTGCATTTCCCCGGAGCAGGTGAGAGCGGGGGGGAATCAATGGGGCACATTTCCTTTGGTGCTTTAGAATAACCTGTTGGCTGTTGGTGCTTTAGCAATCGGGGCTCAACAGGGATCTTGACTAGCACATCGGTCTGGGGCAGGTGAAGAGGGGGTGGGGAATGGGGCACAATATGAGGCGATTTTAAGAGAGATTGGTTGAGGGGCTTACTCTACCACCAAGCTTGACAATGAACTGTTCCAGGGCAAGCGAGAGGGGGGTTGGGTGAGGAATGAGGGAGAATTCGAGGTAGACATTTGAGTCGACTCAAAAGTCGATTCGAGGTAGACATGATCAAAACATTGACCCCTAGACACTCACCTCGTTCGTTTTTTCTCACCATGGTCGAGTCGAGGCACCTGAGCTGAGCACCATGGTGAGTAGAAGCGCATTCGCATGGTGTGCCGCAGACGCATTCCCAGACCTTTACAATGTAATGGAGTGCCGCAGAGCCGAAGCCTTGTAAGCAACCTGCTGTGCTCTGCACCGTCTCGTCTCGTCTCGTCTCGTCCCGTCCCGTCCCGTCCCGTCCCGTCCCGTCCCGTCCCGTCCCGTCCCGTCCCGTCCCGTCCCGTCCCGTCCCGTCCCGTCCCGTCCCGTCTCGTCTCGCCTCGTCTCGCACGCAGTAGGCCTCTTCACTCGTTAAGACATCTCAAAGCTCGACCTTTGCCATGCGGAGGCTGTCTGTGATGCTCTTGGCTTTTGAGGCGCCTCAGAATATCTGGTGCTTCACTCACTCACTCACTCACTCCCCCTTCCGCATCCGCAACGCCCGTTGCTGTGTGCAGGTGTGGGTGTGGCACGCGTATGTGAGCGACTGGCGGCTGGACAGCAGCGGCACGCCGCTGTTTGACATGCGGCTGTACGTGGTGCTGTTTGGCAGCTTCTCCAGCGACGAAGAGGTGCTCGTGCAGTCTGTCATCGTGCAGAACCCGGACCTCCTGAAAGAAGCCAGACTAGGAGTGCTCAAGCGGCTGGGTAAGTTGCAGGTGGGAGGAGGGGAAGCTAGAGGAAGTTGGTGTTTGACTTGGCCTGGTGCAGTCTGTCATCGTGCAGAACTGGGACCTTTTGGGAGACCCCAAATCTGCAGTGCTCAAGCTGCTGGGTGAGTGGGGGAGAGGGAGAGGCTGTGTGGAGTGCAGTGCAGACTGTGATCGTGCAGATCAGCGACCTTCTCGGAAACACCAAGTTTGGAGTGCTCAAGCGGCTGGGTGAGTTGCAAGGGGGGGCCGCCGAGTTGCTCGGGGGGACCGCCAAGCCAAGGCGAAGGGTAAGGGAGAGGGGTCGAGGTGGTGAGGGAAAAAGGGGAGAGGAAGAAGGAGAGTTGGCATTTGACTTCCAAGTTGACTGACTACCAAGTTGACTGACTACCAAGTTGACTGACTACCAAGTTGACTGACTTCCAAGTTGACTGACTTCCAAGTTGACTGACTTCCAAGTTGACTGACTTCCAAGTTGACTGACTTCCAAGTTGACTGACTTCCAAGTTGACTGACTACCAAGTTGACTGACTTCCAAGTCGACTGACTTCCAAGTTGGTAATTCCTTTCTGTCCCCACATCTGGCCCTCCCTCCCACCTTACCTCCTCCCTGTTTCTGCCTAATCCTCATTTCCTCTTTATCCTCAATTGTGCGTTCGCCCCCCTTCAGACCACGAAAAAGAAGTGCCGCCCCCAACCCCCCTGCGTACGTCACTGCCCTGCCATCCATCCATCCATCCATCCATCCATCCATCCATCCATCCATCCATCCATCCATCCATCCATCCATCCATCTATCCATCCATCCATCCATCCATCCATCCATCCATCCATCCATCCATCCATCCATCCATCCATCCATCCATCCATCCATCCATCCATCCATCCATCCATCCATCCATCCATCCATCCATCCATCCATCCATCCATCCATCCATCCATCCATCCATCCATCCATCCATCCATCCATCCATCCATCCATCCATCCATCCATCCATCCATCCATCCATCCATCCATCCATCCATCCATCCATCCGTCTTTCCCTCCCTCTCTCTTTTCTCCTTCTCTCCCTCCCTCCTTCCCTCCCTCCCTCCCTCCCTCGCCCCTTCCTTCCCTTCCCTCCACTCACCCATCCACCAATACACCACCACCTCTTCGCTCCCCCAACCCCTTTCCCCCAACCAGCACCCTTCCCGGAAAGGAACAACACCGCCCCACCAGCAGCGCCTCCCCCAGATGAGCTTTCCTCGTCGTCCTACACCACGGTCATCATTGCCGTGGTCGTGGTGGTGCTGGCTGTGCTGTTCGGTGTCGGTGTCGCCTACTTCTACTTCTTCGTGCGCAACCGCCGCAACAAGTGTGAGTCTCATCACACAGTGCCATGAGTTCAAAAGAGAGTGCCACTCCACACACCTTGCCTTGGGCGTTGGTGTCGCCTACTTCTACTTCTTCGTGCGCAACCGCCACTCCAAGTGTGAGTCCCAAGAGAGTGCATGTGACTATAACCATACAGCAGACAGGAACAACAGTATCCTAGCAGGACCTACCCCAGATGTGCCCGGCTCTTCCTCCTCGTTTTACACCACGATCATCATTGCTGTGGTGGTGGTGGTGGTGGTGGCAGTGCAAATCATTGTCGATGTCGCCTATTTCCACTTTCTCTCTGCCTCCCGCCTTTCCCCCTCCCCTCTCCTCCCACTATCTTTCCCTATCCCCCCCCCATCTGCTCCCCACCCCACAGTGTCATCCATATCAGGCTCCGGTTTCCTGGGCAACCAGGCGCTCTCCTCCTCATTCGGCTGGGCCCTGCAGCAGCGCTTCGTGCAGGTGTACTCGCTCAAGGAGGTGACAGCGGCGACGCACAACTGGGACGAGGAGCGGGTGCTGGGGCAGGGCGGGTACGGGCGGGTGTATCTGGGGGAGGGCGCTCACGGCGTGCAGTGGGCCGTGAAGAGGCTTGAGGCGAGGTCCACTGCCAAAGGGCTTCAGGACTTCAGGAATGAGGTGGGTGGGTGGGAGTGAGGAGTCTGTTCAGGGTTCAGGGTGTAATTGGGGGAGGGCGCTCCTCACGGCTTGCAGTGGGCTGTGAAGGGGTTCGAGGTGCTACAAGGTTCTGGAGTGGATGAGGGAAGGGGGAGGGGGGAGGATAGATCATTAAGGTGTGATGACGAAAGTGGCCCTTGGACAATCACTGCCTCCCCTCCCCTTCCCCCCCCACCCCCTCCCATCCGTCCCCCGCACATCCCCTCCCACGTGCACAGGTGGAGCTGATCTCGCAGACCAACCACCGCAACCTGGTGAAGCTGCTGGGCTTCTGCGACGACCACGGCGAGCAGGTGAGGGGCGGGTTGAAGGGGCGGGTTGAAGGGGGGGCGGGGGAGCAGAATCAAGGGGCAATGGGGGCTGGCTGGGCTTAACAGCAAGTGAATGTATCAATCTGGTAAAGCTGCTTTATGTGAGGATCAGGGCGTGGGCAGCAGGTAAGCAGTGGGGGTTTGAGCAGGTGAAGGGCAGGTAGGGTTGTTGTTTAGGGGAGCAGCATAGCGATTGGAGGAAGTTCTTGGTCCGTATGTTTCTCTCCTTCACCCTTCTCGATACATTTCCATATCCCGATGCATGGGTTTACTGTTTTGCCTAATATTCCAGAGCGCTCCTTTTCTGGTGATCCCTCTCTTGGTCGTATGTGCTGCAGATCCTCGTGTACGAGTTTGTGCCGAATGGGAACCTGCGGCAACACCTGCGCCCCTCCAAAGGTGAGCCCCATCGCTGCAGCTTCCACCCTTATGGAAGAAAAGAAGGTTTCTCTGTGGTAGAAAAGTAGAACCTCTCCTCTCCCTTCCGCTTCTGACCTTTCTCACACATGCCCCGCTTTGGCCCCCTTACTCCCTTCGCCTCCGTTCCCCCCATCACCTTTCCCACTTCCTCCATCTCCGCATCATCTCCATCTCCCCACCACCCCCACATTCACTGCCCTCCCTCCAGCTGCTCCAGAACACCGTGATGCGCACAAGCGGGGCTCCCCATCCTTATTCGCACCTTCCCAGTATCTTCCCATCATCTCCCCTTGTCCCCGTGACCCTCCAATCCTCCAGCTGCCTTGTAGCACCCTGACGCGCGCGCACAAGCTAGGGCTGACCTTCCTGCGGAGTTGGGGCAGCAGAGGGGCTGCGCTACATGTACAACTTCACCCCTAGGCCCTGTTTGCCGCCTTGGCCCATCTCCCTCCCGCTGCCCACATTTCTTCACCATCTGCCCAGCACCTCCCCACCATCCCCCCCTCTCTCCTGCCCCCATTGTTCCCCCAGTCACTGCGCCTTCCATCCCACCAGCTGCCCTAGAGCACCCCGATGCAATGCGCACAAGCTGGGGCTGACTGACGTTCCTGCAGCGCGTGGACGTGGCCAGTCTTGCACCACACACCACACACACCCTTTGTACCCACGCCCGTGTCCACCCTTGTTGCATTACTGCCCCTCCAGCCGCCCTAGAGCACCCAGACGCGCACAAGCTGGGACTCACCTTCCTGCAGCGCGTGGACGTGGCGGTGGGGGCAGCCGAGGGGCTGCGCTACCTGCACAACTTCACCACGCCCTCCGTGGTGCACCGCGACGTGAAGAGCGAAAACATCCTGCTGGACGAGAACATGCAGGTAGGTTGTGTTCTGGGATAAGGATATGCAGGTGAGCGAGCTGGCCTTGCCTCCCTCCTCCTGCCTGCTTGCCTGCCTGGTTGTGTTGTGGGTCTGTCCGCCTGCCTGTGCACCACGCCCTCTGTGGTGCACCGCGATGTGAAGAGCGAAAACATCCTGCTGGACCAAGTCATGCCTTGCCCCTCTTCTGCATGCAAGGCCCATCACCTGCTTGCTTCTGTACTGCTGCTGCATGCCATATGCTACCACTCCCCATGTTAATCTGCTCCCACCCCACCAGCCCAAGGTGGCGGATTTTGGCTTCTTCAAGAACATGGTGGACAGGGCGGGTGGCGGCAAGGGCGATTCACAGGCAGTGACACGCATCTGCTCGGCTCCATTTCATCTGCCGTCCTCCCCCCCTTTGCTCCATTTCCCATTTTCCCTCTCTATCAGCCCAAGGTGGCGGATTTCGGCTTCTTCAAGAACATGGTGGACGGGGCGAGTGGCGGCAAGGGGGCATCGGAGGCGGTGAGCACGCGAGTGCTGGGCACCCCGGGCTATGTGGACCCTGAATACTACTACACGTGCAAGGTCACCACCAAGTGCGACGTGTACAGGTGTGTTGCTTCACTCTGCTCCGCACCACACTTGCAGTCGACCGTAGGGTTGAGTCAAGGCGAATGCTGGAGTGGAGTGCTGCACACGCCCGGCTATGTGAACCCTGAGTACGTACCACTACACGTGCAAGGTCACCACCAAGTGTGATGTGTACAGGTGCGCCGCGTCACCATGCCACACACTTGCAGTCAACCATAGGGTTGAGCCAACGGCGAATGCTGCCTGCCGGGACACTCCGGTGGAGTGCTGGGCACCTTAGGCCATGTGGCCCTGATTAATTACTATTACACGTGCAAGGTCACCACCACGTGTGGCGTGTACAGGCAAGTGCCCATGGCACACGGCTAAAACATGAGCACAAGGCGTGTAGTGTTACTCTGCCTTCATGCATCCGCTGCCATGGGTTCAAAGGGGTGCTGTGGGATGGGAGCTGGTATCGGCCAAATCGCCCATCCCAGTAGCAGAGCACCGAGATGCGAGCCTGTTCCACCGAGAGTCAATTTCTGGGGCGCCTCAAAAGCTTAGTAACGGGCAAATCGCCCATTGCACAAGCAGAAGCACCGAGACACGAGCCTGTTCCACCCACAGTGGCACTCCAGGGGATTGTTGAGTTGAGGCACCTCCTCCGGGAGGCTCTTGAGACCATTCTGCAAGCCCTTTGCCGCCCTCTCCTCCTCCCCTCACTGTTCCCTTGGTTCCCTGCTTAAGCCCGCCCCACCCCTCTGCCCCGCCCCTCTCAACACATGTTCACCACCCTGTACTCCTCTCCTTTTTGCTTGGCAGTTTTGGAGTAGTCCTGTGGGAGCGTATCACAGGCGAATCGGCCTAACCTTGAAGCAGTGAATGGTGTCGGTTGTACTCCTCGCAACACCTCTCTACCATCCCGTACTCCTCTCTCCGCTTTCTTTTGTTGCCTGCAGCTTTGGAGTGGGGCTGTGGGGGCTGATCACAGGCAAGTCGACCATCCTAGAGGTGGAGGACCCCGAGTCAGCCCCACCTCTCTGAACACCTCTCTACCTCCCCGTATTCCTCTACTCCCTGCTTCTCTTCTCAGCTTTGGAGTGGTGTTGTGGGAGCTGATGACGGGCAAGTCGCCCATCCTAGAGGCGGAGGATCCAGGCGTCACTCTGCTGTACCCCTCTTAACACCTCTCTACCACCCGGTACTCCTATCCGCTTTCTTTTGTTGTCTGCAGCTTCGGAGTGGTGCTGTGGGAGCTGATAACGGGTAAATCACCCATTCTAGAAGTGGAGGACCCCGAGTCAGGCCCAGGGGATGGGCCTTGCTTCATGCAGCTGCCCATTTGGGTGAGTGCGGTGGGATGAGGTGGGATGGGTTGGGATGCCATGGAGTGGGGTGGGAGGAGATTCGATCGGGTGGGAGGAGATTCGATCGGGTGAAATGGTCGTTGTTTCGTCGGCAATGAGATAGCCTTACGGGGTGTGAGTTCCCACCACTTCAACCCAACTCCAAACATCCAGTCTCCGCCACCCTCCTTTACCCTGTTTCGCTTCTTCCAGACCTCTGCCCCCCCCCCTCCAACCTCCTTCCCCATCCCTCCACCTTTCCCCATCCCTCATTCCGCATCCCTCTACCTGTTCCGTTACATCTCCCTTCACCACTTCCTTTCCCCCATGGGTGGCCCCAGGCGTGAGTGCATGCACTCTTCTCTTGTGAAAACTTTCCTATCATCTCTCCTTTCATTCTTTTCCCATTCCTTTTCCCCTTCCCCTTTCAATCTCCATCTCCTCCCCCACCCCCTTATTGCCCTTCCCCCCCACCAGGCGATCATGTATCTGAAGAAGGGCAATCTGGCCTGGACGAGTCAGTGGGCGCGCACCGCATGCACGAGCACAAAGCAAGGGCAATGTAGCCCTCTTTAACCTCCCCTCTCCAACACCTCCATCGCTCCTCGCTCCCAGACGATCATGTATCTGAAAATTGGCAACGGAAACGAGATAGTGGACCCGGCACTGAAAGGAGACTGCATCCTTCCCGTCATCCCTTTCCGTTCCCCTCCCCCTCCCTCCCCCAATCCCCCCAGGCGATCATGTATCTGAAGAAGGGCAATCTAGAAGAAATAGTGGACCCGGCATTCAGAGGAGACTACGACAAGGAGGCCGTTAGAGCCATGGCGGAGATAGCCGACAAGTGCACTAGAGACAAGGCGCGCCACCGCCCCGAGATGACCGACGCGCTGACGTGGCTGGTTGAGATCCAACGGCGCCTCAAGCGCGAGAGCGACCCCAGCTATGTATCTGAGCCGTCCACTCCCGTGGCGGGGATGGGAGGGGGGAGTGGTTTTGGGGGGGGGGGAGATGCGGTGCTGGAGCTGGTTGGTGGTGCGGGGGCGGACTCGCTTGTGCTGCACTCCACGACGCACCAGCCGCCCATCTCGACCCACTTTGAGGGGCGGTGATGGGGGGTACAGTATGCTTGGGGAATGTGTGGCGGATAAGAAAAAAAAGGAAAATGCAGAGGAAAAAAAAACACACTCGGCGATGGAAGGGGAGCAGGACTGGCTTGTTGGTTGCTCTCACCTCCTGTCGAAGGGTTCAACACAGCTGCAGCCAGTAGCAGAGTGTGCTGCAACCGCAGGGGGTGTGCTGCAATCTGCCTCTGGTGGGGGGAGGAGGAGGGAGGAGGAGAGGAGGTGGGGAGAGGGAGAAATGCTGCCATCCGCCTGGTTGGTCACCTGCCGAGCTGGGAGCTGCCGGGCTGGGCCTGGGTCTATCTTCACTCAGCCCTTCACAAGCCAATACTAGGGAGTCAATGTGATCTCTTAGGCACCTTAAAACTGTGCTGCGCCAGGTTGCCAGCTGGTGCTGCACAATGATTATACAAGAAGGCTAGCGAGGCAGTGGAGGCAATTCATGGTAGCTTGGTGAGGCATCTTGCAGTATGTGGTGGTGTGGTGACACAAGGTTGAAGCTCTTCTGAGCCGAGCCGAGCCATGGAGTGGTGTTGAGTTGGATGGAAGGTGTGCTGCTGACTGTTGGGGATGCTTGCTTGCTCAACCTCAAGCAAGCCAGTCAATGTGCAAGAGTTTGTGTGGGTGTACAGAAAGGTGCAACATGACATTGACCGCAGTCACGACTGCAGTCATTGACTGCAGCAAGCCGATGCCTGAAATATTTGCTCGTCCGGTTTGGTATTTGTGCTCATTAGCTGTTGAGCCTCTGCTTTCATGTACAAACTCTTCGGATATATGTAGTTTCTTCTTATGCATAGATGGTGGCGTACGTCTCCGTCAATGATAGAAGAAACAGCTACCCCGTGAAAATACGAATCACTCTGTATTGCATTCGAGATTCGCTTACATCCCGTTCAATCTACCAGGGCACTTTCGTTGAATACTTACAGGATGGCCTCTCCGTTCCCGCGCTTACGATCGCAGCGACTCGCTGATTCGCTAAACGCCGAGTCTTTCGTTAAGTGTCGTAGCCTTGCGACTTCCGCCCTCGTCGTGTGAGTGTCGAGCGACAACAGCCAGTATAACGACGACCTCTAAACTCAGTGTCGCATACGCGCAGCCTTCCTTGTTTGATTTTAATTAGTTTTCCAATTCGTTGAAGACCGTCTGGCAATCAGCCAATCGTGCATGGCCACGTGGGATGAGAGGGTCCGCTCTTGCGCGGAGCGGCTGTGTCAGCTGCCGGACTTGTCGTTTGAGGAGATTGAGGCCACGTCAGCACAGCTGAGGCGGCTGCTGGAGGAGGGATGTGGCGAGGAATGCGCAAGTTCGCGGAAACCAACAGCAGAAGATGGAGAAGCAAGAGAAGCAGGAGTGGGGGTTCCTGAGGCTCGCTCTGTCGCTTTTGAGAATTCTCAGAAGCAACTCCAACAACGCTCTGCCGTGAATGCCTCTGCGGATGCTGTTGCAAAGAGGTTGGGAAACGAGGACGGATCCGCTCGTGCTGGTGCGGATGAGAGCGGTCGGGAGCGCGCCGTGTGGCGCGTGCTGCAGCTGCTGCTGTCGCTGCTGTCGGGCCGCCAGGTAGTGCGGGGGATGTGGGGTGAGGATGGGATGGTGGGTGCGGAGGGGAGGCGGGTGAGGAGGGGAGGCGGGTGAGGGGGGGAGGTCGGGTGAGGAGGGAATGAGGGGTGAGGAGGGGATGAGGGGTGAGGGGGAGGTGGGGGGAGGAGGGAAGGTGGGGTGTGAAAGGATGGAAGGAGGAGTGCGGAGAAGATAATCCACTCACGCATGTCACAGACTCACAGCATCACCTTCATTTCGTCAGGCGCAGAATCACGTGTTTCCGTCTCCTCTTTGTTCTTCTCGTATCGTCCCACAACCCCGTGACATGCCCCACGTACCTCTCTCGCCCCCCCTTCCATCCATGTGCCCCTCAGCAACATACCCTGTCATCATGACCCCATCCCACCCCATCCCACCTCATCTATGTTCTCACGTTCCGTTGCACCTGCTTCCCTTTTCATTGACCCCCTTTCGTTCCACACCCGTCGTCAACCAACACTCCTTTGCTCTCCCCACGCCACACACACACCCTCCCTCTCATCCCTTTCCTCCCAACCCACTCCCGTCTCCAAACTCCCTCGTTTTTCCTCTTTTTGAGACGTCTCTTCATTCCCCCCTCCACACCCCCCCTTTCTTCCACCAGCCATCTCCCTCCACCCTACCTCATGGAACATGCATGCCGCCCACCATTCAGTGTGTTCTTCAACTCATCATGCCCCACTTGACTTCACCCATTCTCCCTTCTCTCTCTCCCCACCCCTCGCCCCCTCCCCTTTCCACCTCCCTCGCTTCCCCCTTCCATCTCCCCCGCTTCCCCCTTCCACCTCCGCCTCCCCCCCCCCCCTTCCCCACATCCCTCCCCCTCCTTCCCCAGGCATCGCTCCTCATCGACCGCGCCTCATGGGACATCCTCCGCTTCCTCTCCTCGCCTCTCCCCTCCTCCCTCCCCTCCTCCCCTCCTTCCCCGCCCTCCTCCTCACCATCCCCAGCAGACGTCTCCCCCCGCTGCTGCGTACTAGCATGCCAGGCGGTGGGGGAGGTGGCATCTGGGGCGGGCGACCCCCGCGAGGTGCATGCTGCTCTCGTGGAGGGGCTGTCTGGGGCCGTCAGGCGGGCGGCACTGGGGGTGGGGGAGGGGGATGCGCGGGGAGAGGGGGAGGGGGAAGTGGGAGGTGAGGAGGTGGAGGCGGGGGGAGATGAGGAGGGAGGGACGAGAGGCGAGATTTGGAGTGACTCCGTGGCGCCGTTTGGGACTCAGCTGGCCCTGCTGGCAGGGCTGCACACCAATGAGTGCCATACGGGGGCTGCACACCAGTGAGTGCCATGCGGGGGCTGCACACCAGTGAGTGCCATGCGGGGGCTGCACACCAGTGAGTGCCATGCGGGGGCTGCACACCAGTGAGTGCCATGCGGGGGCTGCACACCAGTGAGTGCCATGCGGGGGCTGCACACCAGTGAGTGCCATGCGGGGGCTGCACACCAGTGAGTGCCATGCGGGGGCTTCACACCAGTGAGTGCCATGCGGGGGCTGCACACCAGTGAGTGCCGCGCGTTGAGGTGGCTTTTGAGTCGACTCAAAGCGCGTTCCGTTCGATCAGATTAGGTGTTGGAACGTTCGCTTTACGTGGGAACGTTCAAACACACATAGCCCGCGCTCCTGACCGGGCTGCATGCCTGTGAGTGCATTGAACTTGTGCATGCGGGTGCGTGCGTGCGGGTGGAAGTGTGTGGGTGCGTGCGTGTGGGTGCGTGCGTGCGGGTGCGTGCGTGCGGGTGCGTGCGTGCGTGTGAGAGTGTGTGGGTATTCACCCTGTCAGCTGCACTTTCATCATCTCATCGCCCACGCTTTCCTTCACGCTCCACTCCTTCTGTCTCCATCCTCCACCGGCGTTTTCCCTTTTCCGTTGCAATGCCACAAGTCCCACTAGCAGCGCTACTTGCATGCTTGTCTTCCCCTGCATGCTACTCTCCGTTTTGCTCCCTCCCTCCTGCCCCTGCCTCGCAGCCTTCTAGTTTTCCACCTTTCGCATTCTCTTTCCTTTTCCTCTCATCGCTCCCATCTCCTTGCGTCCTTGCTTCAAGTTCACCAATCTGCCTTCCTCACCTCTCTTACAGCCTCCCCACCAATCTGCACCCCCTCATCACCCCCTTCCGTCCCCCTTTCCCCTCCCTCCCAGCTCTCCCCCGCATCCCCCGCCAGCCCCATTGTAGCGAGGTGACATTGGAGTCGACTCAAAAGTCTCCACACCCCTCAACCCCACCCCACCCCCCTCCCAGCTCTCCCGCGCATCCCCCGCCAGCCCCATTGTAGCGAGGTGACATTGGAGTCGACTCAAAAGTCTCCACACCCCTCAACCCCACCCCACCCCCCTCCCAGCTCTCCCGCGCATCCCCCGCCAGCGCCATCGCTTCTTCATTGACTTGGCGCCGCTCCTCCTGCACCTCGCCCAGCGCGCCTCTCAGCATGCCGTGCTGCCATCTCGTCGCCCCACACTGCTGCCCGCACTACCACCACCGCACTACGCACGCTCCTCCCTTCCCCCCTACACCTCCGCCTCGGAAGCTCCCGTCTCCACTGCTTCTCTCCCCTTGTTCTCCCCTCTCTGCCGAGCTCTTCCTTCCCCCTCCTCCTCCCAGCCCCTTCCCCTCGCGTGCCTCCACCCTTCCTGCCTCGTCCTTCCCTGCCCCACCCTCTCCCCCCATCCCTCCCATGAGCACACCACCACCGCACCCCACCCCTCCCATCACACCCCCTGCCCCCACCAGCACCCCGCCCTTCCCTCCCGGCACTCGCTCCATGATCCCCCCATCACCTCACACCGCTCCTCCCATCCCACCTCCCAACCCCACCGCACCTGCTCCCACCCCTCACCCCCCTCACACCCCCACTCCTCCCTTCCCTCCCGGCACCCGCTCCATCATCCCGGACCTCCTTCAAGCTCCCAGCAGCAGCAGGGAGGCAGCATGGCTGGTGTGCCACCACTGTATGCACCTTATTCTCACTGCAGTCACTCGCGCTATAGTCCCACCCGTCACAACGACTGACACTGCGGCTGCACGCACTGTCCTATCACGCACTGACCTATCACGCACTGACCTATCACGCACTGACCTATCACGCACTGACCTATCACGCACTGACCTATCCTCTCACCCGCAAATCTCCCCCCAGATTCTACTGGCGGCCCAGACAGCCACGCTGCTGCTGCTCCTCTCTCTCTCCCGCTGCTCCGCCTTCCTCCTCTCCATCCTCTCCTCCCATCCCCCCTCCCCCTCCACTCTCCCCTCTAAACTCTCGCCCCCGTCACCTGCCTCAGACCCAGCCCCCTCCCCAGCCCCCTCCCCAGCCCCCTCCCCTGCACCCTCCCCTGCACCCTCCTCTGCACCCTCCTCTGCACCCTCCTCTGCACCCTCCCCTGCAGCCTCCCCAGCCCCCTTCCCTGCACCCTCCTCCTCGCCCTCCTCCGCTGCCCCCCTCCCCCTCATCTCCCCTGTGGCCAGCGCCCTGGCTGCCCTCCACTGCCGCCTTGGCTCCCTGTGGCCACTCAACCCGCACCACCTTGGGGAGAGAGCATTTGCAGACGCGCCTAGAACCATGGGCACAAGTACAAGCACGGCCGTGGGCACTGGCAGGGGTACGGGCAACTGCAGCAGCAGTAGCAGAGCAGGCACGAGCGGTGGTAATGCGGACAGCACAGAAGGTGGTGCTGCCAGTGCCACGGCACCCCCCCTCCTTCCCTCAGTGGACCTTCTCTCTCTCACTGTGTGTAGCTCATCCTGCCACCTTCACGACGGTACGGCTGGTGGCCCTGCTGCCTCTGCTGCCGCAGCAGCAGCCCGTACGGACGGAGCTTTGGGCGGCAATGCTTGGCTGGGAGCAGTGAAGGCTCTTCTGAGGCCAGATGATGGTGAAGAGGAAGAAGAGGAAGAGGAGGAGGAGGAGGAGGAGGAGGAGGAGGAGGAGGAGGAGGAGGAGGAGGAGGAGGAGGAGGAGGAGGAGGAGGAGGAGGAGGAGGAGGAGGAGGAGGAGGAGGAGGAGGAGGGAGAGGGTGGTAGAGCATGCAGAGAAGAGAAGAAGAGGAGAGAAGCGGAGAGGGTGAAGAGAGAAGCAGAGTGGTTGGGTGCGGTGCAAGGGGAGGTGAGGGAAGGAGTAGCGGTGCTCCTGCTCTGGACGCTTCTCCAAGCCAGCAGCAGCAGCAGCAGCAGCAGCAACAGACGCAGCACTCTCTCTGTCGATCGCGCCACTCTCATCACACTGCTCCGCTTTGCTCCTTGCCTCCTTGCTGCTGGCCTCCCTACTGGCGCTGCTGGTGGTGGCAGTGATAGGGGGAGAACAGTTGGAGTGGGAGACGCTGTGTTGAGGAGAGTAGCCGGAATACGATTGGTTCACGCTGCTCTGGATGCTTACACCTCCTCTTGCCCTCTCTCTCACTCTCCCTCTACTTCCTCGGAATCTCACTCTCACTCTCACTATCAACCACACTCATTAACAGACAAACACCCATTCACTGATAGTAACGACTCCACTGCTGTAGAAACAGTGACACGTGTCGCGTCGTCATTGGCTGGTGTGATGATGTCAGCAGTCGGCTCATCTGCGCTGCGCCAGGCGGCACACCGTGCCATGCTGGCAGTGCTGCGGGCAGCGACGACAGATGGGGAGAGGTTGGAGTGCGTCAAGAGGCTGATTGTGGAATACAGAGAAGAAAGCATGCTGGTGAGTGTGGTGTGTTCTTCTGAAGCGCCTCAGCGACAGAAGGGGAGAGGCTGGAGTGCATCATAAGATTGATTGTGGAGTACTGTGAGGAAAGCATGCTGGTGAGTGCAGTGTGGTGCAGTGTGGTCCATGCTGCATTACGTGCGGGATGCTTTGTCCTGCCATGATACCAAGGGGCTGTCTAGCCATTTCTCTGCCCCATTCCCCTTCCACATCCCGTGACCCTCCCCTTCCTGCACTTCCCCATCCCTCTTCGCCTTCCTTTTTCTCACTTCCGACCTCACGTATTTCCTTCCCCTTTTTGTTCCCTCCCCACCACCCTTCCCCCGCAAAAGTCACCTAATAAGTTACCCCCCCCCCCCCCCCCCCCACTCCCCCCCTCCATGTCGTTCTGCTTGAGTCATTCGCTAATGATGAGGCGCACCGAGCATGGCCTCTCTTTTCAATTGACTCATCAAAAGTCATCTTCTCTTTCCCTCCTCCCCGGCTCATCTCCTCCTCCCCCTCCCACCGATCCCCACCAGGTGGCTCTGCTCGTGTCATTCGCCAAGGACGAGGTGGACCGAGCATGGCCTCGCTTGCTGCACTCTGCTGCACCATCCACGTCAGCACCACCATCCACGTCAGCACCACCATCGACGTCAGCACCACCATCCACGTCAGCACCACCATCCACGTCAGCCCCACCATCCACATCAGACATAGAGACACATCCATCACAATCACCCACGATTCCTCGTCCCCACCACCCCCTCTCCCCTCACCCACTCCCCACCTTCGCCTCTCCAGCCATCCTCTCCCTGCTAGACCTTCTCCTGGACCCCTCAGCTTCAACCCTCCGTGCCACCATCGCCACTCATGCCCCCTCCCCCACTGCTACACAACCCGCACCACCCTTCGCCTTCCACCTGCCGGATCATGCAAACGCCCTCATTGCAGCGCTCAACCTCCTGCGCTTCCTCCTCCTCAGAGAGCAGCAACCTGCCCCCACCCCCATCCACTCTTCCTCTCCCTCGCCCTCACTTCCCTCCCCCACGTCCCTGCCCTCGCCTCTCCCCCCACCTTCACCGCCCTCCCCCACGTCCCTCCGCACCAAGCCCAGCCTGCTTCGCGCGCGCAACTGCTGGCTGCTGCCTCTGCGCTCCTCCGCCCTCACCGCGCGGGAATCCCTCGAATCCAGGAGACCACGGGTGGAGGGTGGAGCAGGGAAGGGTAGGGGGATGGGGTGTGGGCACGGGAAACATGGGCATGGAGGGGGAAGGGAGTTGGGGACAGGCACGAGTGGGAATGAAGAGGGGGGGAGTGGGAATGAGGATGAGGAGGAGGATGAGGAGGATGGGGAGGAGGGGGCAGATCCCCTGGAGGAGCAAGCATGGGTGCAGGAGTGGATGGGAGTGGAGACGGTGCTGTCACTGGTGGCCCGATGCTTGGAGCTTGTGGAGGCAGATGGAGGCGTGTAGAGGGCGTGTATCGGCAGTAGCCACATGACACAAGGCTCACGCCGAGGCAGTTCAATGCAACCGTTGGGGAGACGGATGGATGGGAGTGGAGTCAGCGCTGTGCCTGGTGGCCAGATGCTTGGAGCTCATGAAGACGGATGGAGGGGCATAGGGGGGAGGTGTAACGAGCAGCTAGCAGCCAGAAGCCACGTAACACAAGGCTCGTTGTTGAGGCTATGAACCCTGATTGAATTTTGTTTTTCTTGTCACTGTATGAAGTTCTACGTATGGAGTTCATGGTTCAATTTGCAGAATTTTTTACATTTGTAATCACTCGGAAGGACGCTCTGTCACGGGTTTGTGCAGATACAATCATGTGTGCTATTTAAATGTCAGATATATCATCACCATTTATCAGTATCATGCATATGTGTCTGATCTCAAACTGGTAACAAGGTCCGTTGTAGATATGGCTTTTCTCTACAATAAAACTCGTTTGAATGGCTTGAGTGGCTAGGCATTAGCGCATCGGGAACGCGCCGCGTTATAACCTATCCACGCCTCCGATCGCGGTTCGATTTCGCGTTTCTGTTCGCTCCAAGCACACCTCGCACGCACCCATCCCACCCATCCCCACCACCCCAAACCCAACCCCCTCATCTCCCTCGCGCGAAAGCCCTCCAACATACATCCTCCTCACCTCACGTTTCTTACTTTTACCTCACGCATCCTCCTTACCTCGTCAAACTCTCCGTCACACATGGGCCCCTCGCGATTTTCGCCCAGCTCAACACACCGACCAACATGGTACCGCGCCTATCTTATCACCGACCATCCAAGCCGAATCCACCTTACCTCTATCTTCGTGCTACTCACGGCTGTGCTGCCCAATGTTCTTATAAAAGCCAAGAGCCCGAGGCGATTCAAGTAACCGAAGCTTCCACTGTCCCCCGATTCATAGAGATCTACCAAAGGCGCTTCCACCTTCCCCCGACCGTCCAACAGCCGCCGTAACGATGAGGCGCTCCAAGGTCCTCTTGGTCCTGCTCGCCCTCTCCCTCGTCGTATCCCTCGCGCTGACGCAGCCGTGCCGAGCGAATGAGATCGATGGTGAGGACGACGCCGACGATAATTTGTCGGATGACGTCAGCGTGGATACCGCCGCGTCGCCTCCTGGTACGTTGGATATTTCAGGAAATTCTCTTAAGAAGCTCCCCATGGTCGTTTCTCTCCTTGCCGCCCGGCGAGGGCGGTAATCTCGTCAATTCCTGCTAATCACGGTTTTATGCTTTCCCGACGACAGATCTCCTGAGCAAGCTTTTCGGGAGGACCAGGAGGTTCCTATGGTCCTCTGAGACGCACCGCATTCTATCGTGCAAGTCGGATTGCGAGACGAAGAATAAGAAGTGCAACACGGATTACAGCAAGTGCAAGCGGGAGAACAAGGACGACGAGCACGACCACCACAAGTGCACGCACAAGTACAAGCGGTGCAAGAAGAAGGCCAAGAAGTGCCGCTCTAAATGCGACTAAGTCAGCACGAGGACGAGTGTGATTGGATTTTGTCAGTTTGTGCCACGTAGTCTGGAAATAACGAAGCTGGGTGGGCTGATCCGGAATCGTTGCATGAAAATACCCACTTCTGGGACTTCGAAAATGTTTTGTTAATAACGAGTCAAAGTTCATCTCCATTCGGAGGTGGAGTGGAATCGACGAGGGGAGAAGGCAAAGGGGAGTGGAGGAGGGGAGGAGAGGATTACGGGGGGTTGGAAGTGAGGAGCTGAAAGGGTTTGGGAGATTCAGTTACGTTTGCAAATCATGTCAGTCAGCGCTTGTGGGCTGGCAAGTGAGGGAGATGGTTTTTGAGGGAGTGGGTGACTGAGGGGTATGGGGTGATACAGTAGTAAGATGCTACGGTAAGACGAATTGCAGAAAGCGGGTGAATCATGGTTGAAGCTGGCTTACATGATGTTACGAATAGTGATTGTTGAAACACTATTACACACTCCTCACCGCAGCAACCGAAGCACGCTCTACCGAGAAGAAGACGGACAGGCGGAGGTGACACGAAGAGTCACACGGTTACGAAAGGATCTGGACCGTCGGGCAGACAGCATCAGGCAGCAGCAGTGGCGAGGATTCTGCCCGAACAGTTTCGTAACTGTCTTGAGTCGCACGGTTGGATTTCGCTGCAATAAGGGAATGTACCCCTTAGAGTACATGGCTAGCTATGTCGATTGGTATCCCCTTGTAATCTTATTTATATTCCTTGTATTGCATGTTTTTATTATCTCAAGCATTTACATCCACTCATATTGAGGTCAAGGGCCCACCACCGCTAGACTAGGACTGTGCGAACCTTCCTGAGGTGATCCTGAGGGTGATCAACTTCTGATTGCAACATGGTATGAGAGCGACTCAGGAATCATTCGCACCGCCACCACCGAAATCTTCGGCGAACGGAAAGTGGCGTCCGGCACACGCTCACGTGTGAGAATGGCCGGAGGATCTGGAGGTCAGACGAATCTGACGGCTGAAGCGCAGACTAATCCAGCTGCGACAAACGAGGAAACAACGACAATCCCTTCCGTCGTCCTCGCACAACTGCTTCAGCGACTCACGAGCCTTGAGCAAGGGCTCCAAACATTGCGGAATGGCGATGCGGGAACATCTTCCCAACCCACTCAACCGGCCTCGAACGGCCAGAACTCCGCCCCGCAAGGCTTCTCTCTTGACACAAACGGCTCAACACCCAAGACTCCCTGTCCCAGCGATGAAGCAATTCTCTCTGCGCAATCAAGGTTTTTGAGCATATAAAAAATAAAGACAAGTGTGTGCTTTGACGGCAGAGACTTCTATACCTGGAGCTTCGAGCTGGAGCTGCTGCTGCAAAACGCGCAGATTTTCCACTACTTTGACGGGAGCTACTCGGGACCCACGGAGGAAACTGACGACGCAAAAATCAAGTAATACAACGAGTCTCTGATGGCGTACGGGGTTCTTCTTCGAAATATGTCGCCGACGGAGCAATTGAGCATTCGCTCATACAAAACCTCGCCTGCTCCAGCCCTCAACGCCTGGCGCCACCTGAATGGTGTGTATCAACCGAAGGACTCGGTGTCGTTGAGCCGTCTACTCCAGCAGCTACTGGAGACCAAAATGTCACCAGGAGAGAAGGCCAACAGTTACCTGAATCGCTGTCGGAGCCTACGCGACCAAATCGCGAAACTACGGAGCACGATTTCTGAGGAAATCTTCGTAAATATCGTGCTCCAAGGGCTCGGCCCCGAGTGGCGGCCCTGCAAGGCGCTTCTCCGACAGCAGGGGGTCATCTCGGAGGCCGCCCTTTGCGCCGCCCTCCTCGTCGAACAACGGGATATGGATCAGCAGCGACCAGCGCCACGACGAGATAGGGAACGCCTCGCCTTCTACGCCGAGAACACAGAAGAGCGACGGCCACGGCGCCTCTACTGCAAAATCTGCAGAAATTTCGGGCACCTGGCGGACCGATGCAAGCATCGTTCCCGCCCTCGTCAGACCAATCCGAGCAACTGGTCCGGCCGACAAGACGCGAGGAACGACACGCGTCCCGCCCAGGGGTATCAACCCCCATCGCGTAACCTGAACCCGACAGTTCAGCAGCAGCAGCAGCCATCACAGGCTGCCCCCGTCCGCAATGTCATGGGGAATATGACCATGACGAGCGGCTCTCGTCGCCCGCGCGCACGCTCACTATCACCCGAGCTGGCGCCTGACCCAATCGGAGCGTCCTCGAACAACAACCCGTTCAGCACGCATCACGACTTCAGCGACGATGACAAACAGGACTGGAATCTCCCAGTCCCGCTGCTTGAGAGCCCCCCGCACGTACCAGACACGCGGTCGGCACCGATCGATTGGATCGCACGTGAACAGTTTTTAAAGGTCGACACTCCACACATCGTCACTCCGCGACTGGCGCTGCTCGCGCGAAACGACAACAGGCGCTACAACACGTGGTACCTGGACAGCTGCTGTGGGCAGCATATGGTGGGCTCTGAGCGTTACATATCCAACGCAGTCGCCACCCCCGCCGTCACTTACGTCACTGTGGCGAACAACACGCGGCTGCGCGCAAGCGCGCAAGGCATTGTTGTACTCAAGGCACATGGGAGCAGAACGCACATCACCTTGAATGACGTGTTGATTGTGCAGAACCTGCGTTTCAACCTGCTCTCGGCGGCGCAACTCCTGGATTGCGGAGTCATTCTCAGCACCGACCCCGAGACGCGCGACATTCTGCTCCACTTCACAATGCCGAACAAGATGCGCAAGCAGATCGGACGGGCGCACGCCGAGAACGGAGTATACGTTCTCGACTTCGACATTCCCGACTGCAGCGGCGATTCGCAGGAGCTGATTGACCTCGTTCCCCTGCGCTTCGAACATATCCATCGCCGTGACTGGAAGCACCCTGATGGGCGCCCTTGAGTGCCTCATCACCCACATCCGCGCGAGCTGGCGCTACACGACCCTGATCCTGATGGCATCTGCAGGGACTGCCACACACCCACATCCTCGACAAGCGCGATCGCCGGCCGCGGCCTTGCCGCCATCATCGAAGCAGATCGCGACGCACCGCCTGAAGAGGGCCTGTCGCAACTGGAGCTGGAAACAGCCACACGGGTCGTCTTCGGCACACCGGAAAATCCTCTCCCCGGGCCCGCATCCCAACACCTCCAAGGGATGCTTCGCGGCGTCGGTGTCGGCACCTTCGACGCACATGGCAACCCACGGCCTTACACCGAGGAAAAGGCGGCAGAGATCTACGCTCATCGGCGCGATTCGAAGGAGAAACTCTCGCCGGCGGAAGAAGAGGCACTGGCGCAACGCGAAGCCGAAGAGCTTCGATAGAAGAGTCTCACTGAGGCGCGCGGAACGCTCGCTTGGGAGGATGACAAGGAAAGCGCCTCCAATGAAGGGGGGTGGGGGAGCGCTGGCGGGTGGGGAACAAGTGACACTGGCGGATGGGGAACCAACACTGGCGGTAGGGGAGCAGACAACGGCGGCAACACTGGCGGATGGGGCGCCGCAACTGGTGACTGGGGAACAGACACCGGCGGCAACACCGGCGGTTGGGGCGCAGCATCTGGCGGAGAAACGAGCGGCTGGGGAGCCTTCCGCGAGGATCAAAGGGGGGAAGCGGAAGAAGAAACAGCGCAAGCTGAGGTTGAACCTCCTGTTGTTCCTCTTGGACGCCCTCCACGCCGCCCTGCACTAGCACCACCGCCACCTGACATCCCTTCAGGTAGTGACCCCTGGGACACCATTGACTGGGGTAGTGAGCCACTCACCCCGCGACGCATTGTCTACGGACCTGCCCCTGAACCGCGCGAACCGACATTTGTCCTTGGCACGATCCCCGGAACCAACATCCCCTACTCCATCATTCGCGACAGGGAATTTCTCGCCCTAATGTTAACAACGGCGAACGAAGAAGATGAAGCAGAAGAAGCAGCGGCGACTCTGCAGCCGGCACCTGATGAGGACCCCGCAGAAGCACTCGCGCGCTACATGCGCACCTCCGGATTCCGCGCTGACGACGCCATCTGGCACCAGCGCCTAGGTCACCCCTCGCGCGTGACCCTGAAGAACTGCATCGACGCCGGCGTCTTCGCACCTGGCGCACTACTGCGCCCTGACGGCTCCGAAGTAAGAGGCGGAACTCACCCGCGCACCTGCACCATTTGCCCCGAGGCTGCGCTGAGTCACCAGCCCTTCCCCCTGCGTGAGCCAGGAACCAACCGCTACGCCAAATTAGAGAAAGTTTACAGTGACTTCCTCAACGTGGGACACTGCGGCATCAACGACGAACTCTACACGCTCACCTTCGTCGACGCTGGAACGCGCCACGTGTGGGTCGTAAACGTGGAAGCGCGCAGCAGAGCATACGAAGCATTCCGCCTGTGGCTGGCGCACGCACAGCGGCAATCCGGGGAGAAGTTGAAGATCTGGCAGTCCGATGGCGCGGCGGAGTTCAGGAGCAAGGAGCTGCAGGATTACCTTGCGCAAAAGGGGATCGAGCATCACGTTTCCCTCCCCTATGCACACCAACAGCAGGGCGTAGCAGAGCGCACGAATCGCACTCTCATGACAAAGGTGCGGGCGCTAATGAAGCAGTCGAAGCTTCCGCCGATCTACTGGACCCACGCAATGCACCACGCTGTACGGGTGCACAACCTGCTGTCAACCACCGCGATCACCGGCAACTCCTCACCGCACGTGAAGTGGACGGGGAGGAAGGGCGACACATCCATGCTCCGCGTGTGGGGATGCATGGTCCAGTACCGCCCGCCAACATCAACCATCGGCAAGTTCAAAAGCCGCGCGCGCTGGGAATCCATCTCGGAATCAGCCACGAGTACAAGGCGTGGATCATTCTGGATCTCCTGAGCCAGAAAATCAAGAACACGCGCGACGTCATCTTCTACGAGCGCCTCTTCCTCCACCAGTTCCGCGAAGACGAGCAGACGAACGGGAACCGTGTCTACGCCAACGACGGCCACAGCTACGCCTCACCTGAGGACGAAGCCGCAGCAGCAATTCGGGAGCAGGACCCCAGAGGCGAGTTCACGAGAGGCGATCGACATGACGACGACGACGATGATTCAGGAGAAGGAAGAGGGGGCGCAGCAGGAGGCGCAACAGGAGGAAGCGGAAGCGGAAACGGCGCAGGAGCAGCACCACCAGCCCCACCAGAACCAGAAAGCGACGACGACGATGTGCAGGAGGTCATCCCGCAGCATCGCCACGACAGCACCGTCACCGGAATGCAACTCCTCGGGCTCCACGCTGCCATCTCAACGGCGCCACGTGTCATCGAGCCTAAGAACCCACGGCAAGCACTCACGGGACCTCACAGCAAGGAATGGCGCGAGGCAATGGATGCGGAGATCAGGGCACTCGAGTCACGCGACACCTGGGTACTCGTCGACCGTGCAGCAGTAAAGGGGAGAAGGATCCTTTCGGGCAAGTGGGTCTTCCGCGTGAAGACCGGAGCTGACGGGACGATCGAGCGCTTCAAGGCGCGCTGGGTAGTACGCGGCTACGACCAGAGGCACGGGATCGACTTCGATCAAACATTCGCACCGGTGAGCCGCCACACCTCCGTCAGGATACTCCTCGCCATTGCAGCCGCACGACATCTGCCACTCCGACAGATCGATGTCAAGAACGCATTCCTGTACGCACTCGTAGATGCAGTAATCTACGTGGAGCAGCCGCACACATACGGCGAAGGAGATTCACGGGTCTGCCAGCTGCGGAAGTCCTTTACGGGATCAAACAGGCGCCGAGACTCTGGCAGCAGTACCTGCACAACATACTGCTTGAAGCCGGGTTCAAGCAGCTGCCTCACGATCCTGGGATGTATCGCCGCGATTTCCGCGGCGAATACATCCTACTCACGGTCTACGTCGACGACCTCCTCTACACAGGGTCAAGCAACGAGTTGCTCGAGCAATTTGAGAAAAACCTCGCAGGGCGCGTCGACATCACATGCAATCATGACGTGAAGCAGTTTCTCGGGCTCAACATCACTTACTCGCCGGAAGCCATTCATCTCTCAGCAGTGAAGTATGCAGAGGAGCTTAGCAAGCGCTTCAACATTGCGCCTGCACCACTCTCCACCCCTTACCGCACCCCAGGACCCAACCACAAGCCTGACAACAAAGCCCTGTCCCCTGCTGGGCTTCACACCTACCAGCAACAGTTGGGATGCCTGCTTTTTGCATCTGTTACCTGCAGGCCCGACCTTTCCTACATCGCGAGCCAGTTGGCTCAGTACTCTCGCAAACCAACGGCTGAGAATCTACTAGATCTTCAGCGGGCGCTTCAGTTCTTCATCTCCACGCCCAGCATCGGGCTCTGCTACTCCACCATTCCAACTTCATCCTTCAACCTCATCGGCTACGTGGACGCCGATCACGCTGCTGACCTCGATAATCGACGGTCCAGGACAGGCTTCCTTTTCCGTCTCGAGCCCAGCGGCCCCATCTCCTGGAATTCACAGAAACAGGAGCTGGTTGCCCTGTCATCAGCGGAGGCCGAATTCATCGCAGCAACAGCAGCCGTTCGTGAAGGCCTCTACCTTCAGGAGCTGCTGCAGGAGGCGAAAATTCCAGCCTCAACAAATTTTCGCCTACACTGCGACAACCAGAGCGCGATCAGGATCGCGAAGAAGCCGGGATTCGCCAATCGGACCAAACACATCGCGCTGCGGTACTTCTTCGTCAAGGACGAAGTTGACAAAGGCAAGGTTGACCTAACCTACTGCCCGACGGGCGACATGGCAGCTGACTTCCTCACGAAGAAGCTGTCACGTCAGCAGTACCAGCACTGCTCCGAACTCAGCGGGGTAGTCAAGCGGGCCAAGACTCGCTACGGCCAGGAGTGAAGGGGGGTGTTACGAATAGTGATTGTTGAAACACTATTACACACTCGTCACCGCAGCAACCGAAGCACGCTCTACCGAGAAGAAGACGGACAGGCGGAGGTGACACGAAGAGTCACACGGTTACGAAAGGATCTGGACCGTCGGGCAGACAGCATCAGGCAGCAGCAGTGGCGAGGATTCTGCCCGAACAGTTTCGTAACTGTCTTGAGTCGCACGGTTGGATTTCACTGCAATAAGGGAATGTACCCCTTAGAGTACATGGCTAGCTAGGTCGATTGATATCCCCTTGTAATCTTATTTATATTCCTTGTATTGCATGTTTTTATTATCTCAAGCATTTACATCCACTCTGCTATTGAGGTCAAGGGCCCACCACCGCTAGACTAGGACTGTGCGAACCTTCCTGAGGTGATCCTGAGGGTGATCAACTTCTGATCGCAACACATGAGGCTTCCTTCAGGTCTTCCAGTACGTGCTCCATTGCTTTTTGGAACACCTCACCGAAACAGTTTTGGTATCCACGTTAGTGAGAGGGGGGTGCATACCATAGCAACCATCCAATGCCCATTCAACTACCATTTCGGAGTTTAAGTTGGTTCCATCACTACATCAAACGTGATACAGCACACTCATCTTGGGCTCTGGTCAGCGCAGTCATTACAACAAAGCAAACTGCTTGCCAGATTGACGAGAAGACCAAGGAGATGGTGCATGTCATGGTAATTAACTACTGGTGCCTATTTGTATATTTTGAGTCCGTACACCTGGTTGATGCTCCTGGGAAGCACAGACCCGTCACTGTCAATCACATGCCCACACTCCTTCACATCCAGCCTCTGCAGAGCCTTTAGTTCACTCAACTCCCCTGGCAGCGCCTGCAGCTTCGCACAGCCTGTCAAGCTGAGGGTTTTGAGTCGCGTAAGCCGCGCAAAGTCGGGACACAGGGAGCGGATGGAGCTGTGCGTAATCGCCAGCTGGTTCAGGCAGGTAAGGCGGGTGAGAGAGGCGGGCAGATGCTCTAAATGGTCGCAGAGAACGAGTCGCAGCTGTCGAAGCCGGGACAAGGCACCGATGCCATGCGGGAGGGACGCCAGTTGGGGCGCAGAGTCAATCTCCAAGCACGTCAGGTTCTGAAGCGCGGTGATGCTAGCTGGCAGCTCCCTCAATCCGCCCGCGAATTTCAGCTCCAGCCTCCGCAGCTGCGGCAGTGCTGTCCCGGTATCGGCCGGCAGCCTTTGGACGTTCTTCATGCTGTGAACTATCAAGGTGCGCAGCCGAGAAAGAGATGTCAAAGGGAATGGAAGCTCCTCAGCATCGCTTGCCAGCGTCATCATTAAACGCTCCAGGTGAGGTAGGCTGCTGCTCGCAGCGCGCCCACACGCCACAGCCACCCTGTCCAGGCGAAGAGTCCTCAGCCCTGTCAGCCCGGAAACATCGGGCAGGGCCATCGAATGCCTGTAGCTTCCCCAGCTCAGCGTTTCAAGCGAAGCCGGCAGGAGTTGAGGCGGATGCTTCAGCATGTCACACGACGTCACCACCAGCTGCTTGAGCCTCGTGAGGCCGTCCAACCTGGTGGGCGCAGACGCGAGCTTTCTGCAGCTGAAGAGTGTGAGAGCTTCGAGGAGACTCAGGCACGTGAGCGATGCTGGAACGGCCGTGAGATGAGGGCAGAAGGAGACGTGCAACTCCCGCAGGTTGCTCAGCCCTCTCACGCCCTCTGGAAGCTCCTTCACGCAGCACCCGCTCAGCTCCAGCCTTGTTAACGAGGAGATCTCGGTTAAGGAGGACGGGAGATGGCGCTGCTGAAAGCTGTCTCGCACAAGAAGGGTCTGAAGGTTACACAGGCGGCCAATGTCTGCTGGCAGCGTCACTCCTTCGAGGCAAAGGATCCTGAGAGCCGTGAGGCAGCAGAACCGTGCTGGCAGCTTGCGGATTGGCTTGCACCAGAGCAAGAAGAAGGTCTCCAAGGCGCTGAGCTGGCAGAGGGAGTCAGGGAGACTTGGAAGGGGCAGCTGTTCCAAAACCACAGTTTTCAGGGCAGATAATCTCCCAAAGGTTTCTGGCAGGCAGCGAAGTTGGCGGCACTTGAAGAGGGACAAGGTCTCGAGGTGGTTCAGGGAAGCGAAACCCTCGGGAAGCTCCTGGAAGAGGTCGCACCGGCAAATGGTGAGGTCACGAAGACGCGGGAGCAACTCTGCAATGTCGTCTGGAAGTCGTTCCAATTCTCGGCAATCTGATATCTGCAGCCTTTCCAGGCTCGTGCACGGCCAACTGGGAAGCAACACGTGGCTGGTCCCTAAAGATTTTAGTGAAGGTAACTGTGCGATGGTGAAAGCAGCCGAGCCTGCGTCACCAGGAGAAAAGCAGGTCCGGACGGAGACGGAAAGGCTGGTAATGCCGGGAAGACGCCGCAGATTTGAGAATTGTTCAGTGTTTAATCCTGTGGAGGCGATATGGGGAGTGGTGAGCGAGCCGAGGCTGTCCAGATCTGGAGATTCTAGGGCAGAGGCGGCTGTTAAGGCCAGTGTGTGTAGGCGCGTTAGGTGGAAGAAGGAAGGCGGTAGCTCCACGTCCCGATGGAGGCAGAGGAGTGAAAGCTGCTCCAGCTGAGAGCATTGCTGGAAGAACCGATCCAGGCCAGCTTCGGTGATCGGGTGCTGATGCTTCAATCCGACGTAGTCCGGATGCTGCGTGATCCCGCTTCCTACGTGGAGGATTGTCAGCTTAGGACACGACGATGCGAGGTGAGATAGGAAGTTATTGTCTAGGGTTTCCACGCTGCCGTCGCACAGATGGAGGTGGGTGAGGTTCGGGAAGCGAGCGACGGCATGCGAGAGTTCGTGGAGGGAAATAACGCGATTTCGTTCCACGAGGAGGGTGGAGACGTCGCGCTTAGCTAGAGCGCGCCACCGACGGCACACGGACGAGATTAGGACGATCCTGGCAGCGTTTGGAATGGCGGAGGGAGTCGGAATTGGAGTCGTCTCTTCCTCGGGACTGGAATCTTGGTCTGCGGCATGGATTAAGCTAAGGTTATGCGGCTTCGGCCACAGTACATGGCGAGCCCATGACGCGTCGTCACTGTCAGATCTCCAATATGTGTTCTCCTCGCAGCGCCATAGTATCCTAGAGAGGACGTCCTTGGGAAGGTCGTTGATGTGTGTCGCTGACTGCATTTCCTTGGGAGCGATGGTGGAAAGGTTGAAAAGCGAACGAGATCCAACGACTTTGCAGCCCAACTGAATGTAAACGAAACTCGGAAAATGAGTGTGATGTGAGTGCAGGAGGGATAGAAATGGGGAGTGCGGGAAAAGCAGTGAATATCATAACACTCGGCTGCTCAAAACAGACTCGGGAGGGTGATGTGGTCCGAGTGACCAGGGAAAGTAGCGTGATCTCGTGGTCCGAGCAGATTCACGATGAGTTGTGGAAGGGCGTGTTCAAGCGGTCGGTAGTGCGGTGCGGATCCACTCACGAACTGTAAGGAGCGTGCAGCTTGGGTGTGGTGTGGGTGGTGGTGATGGGAAGGGCACTGTATCGTCAGAATGGAAGACTCGATGAAGAATTGGTGCACTGTAGGTGTGCGGACTTCCGGCGTTCTATCCGAGCCGAACGCAAACCCGGGTCAGCTGTAGCTTCTTGGTAGGGTGAGAGAACGGGCCCGTAGTTCGACACTTTCGCTGGATGGTAACGAGTTTTCGCACCAGGCCATTCCGATTTGCAATCTGTTTTCGTGGTTGAACTGGTTACCCATCGCAGCTAGGACTGACAGGGGAATTCAGCGACACATGTTTTCCCCATTCAACTTCTGCTCAAAATCTCGTGATTCGAGTTTCACTCCTACCTAGATGTTCCTATTTGCTCCGCCAACGCTAGCCATTAGTGCGAAACCAAATAACCTTTCCTGCACACTCGCGCCTCCATCCCAAACCAACAGCCCCGTCACTCAAGAGATATAACAGACAACCGCGCGCCAGCCTACTGCCAACACACTCAACAGTACCGCGTCGCCCAAGAAGAACGGGTAAGCCCCTGCCAGCACAGCATCGGGTCGTCACACCACCTCGCATGTAGCCATGCCCGCCCTCTTATCGCGAAGTTTAGGTTGGAGCGGTTCGAGTTTAGTTACGATAGGCGCGTGCTGGGCGACAAAAGTTCACGAAAATCTAGATCTAGCCCCCGTATCCCTTTTTCCCATCCCTCCGTCTCCCCCTCTCCCTCTGATTCCCCCTTTCGCGACCCTCATATATTTGACGCGTCTCACAAAAGGTCTCCCACCCCAACCGAACCTTGTGGTTACTTGTGTACCACGGCACACCAGGTTGTTAGCAAGGCGCGGTTCTTAACGACACTTTCCATGGATACAATTCGGTACCTGGCCAGAAGTACCCCACAGGTCGCCAGCATCAACTTGCGGATTTCTCACGCGAAGCTCTCGAGTCAAGCAACGAAAGTGAGCTCTCCAGCTCTTCCCCCCCACCGGCTTCCTCTGCCCCCCCTTGCGCTGCTCCCCCCTCCCCTGCTCCCCCTTGCGCTGCTCCCCCCTCCCCTGCTCCCCCTTGCGCTGCTCCCCCTCCCCTGCTCCCCCTTGCGCTGCTCCCCCTCCCCTGCTCCCCCTTGCGCTGCTCCCCCCTCCCCTGCTCCCCCTTGCGCTGCTCCCCCTCCCCTGCTCCCCCTTGCGCTGCTCCCCCTCCCCTGCTCCCCCTTGCGCTGCTCCCCCTCCCCTGCTCCCCCTTGCGCTGCTCCCCCCTCCCCTGCTCCCCCTTGCGCTGCTCCCCCCTCCCCTGCTCCCCCTTGCGCTGCTCCCCCTCCCCTGCTCCCCCTTGCGCTGCTCCCCCTCCCCTGCTCCCCCTTGCGCTGCTCCCCCTCCCCTGCTCCCCTTTGCGCTGCTCCCCCCTCCCCTGCTCCCCCTTGCGCGGCTCCACCCTCCCCTGCTCCCCCTTGCGCTGCCCCCCCCTGCTCTGCTGCCCCTCCCCTGCTCCCCCCTGCTCTTCTCACCCCTGCTCCCCCTCCGCTGCTCCCCCCGCTCTGCTCACCCCTGCTCCCCCTCCCCTGCTCCCCCTCCCCTGCTCCCCCCTGCTCTGCTCCCCTCGCTCCCCCGCGCGTAAGCTCCATGCTCAACCGCGTGTCCTTCTCGCATGGAACTCCCCGCTTCTTCCCCCATTCCTCTTTCCCCTCTTTCCCCGCATCGACTGTTCCACCCTTCCCATATCGTCGTGCTATGCTCGGTCGTGTTATGCTCGGTCGATTGCCAGTATACGGCCAGCAGGGAGGCCCTGGCAGGCGGAGAAGGACGGGATGAAACTCACTGTTGCCTTCCTCTCCTCCCCTCCCTCCCAACGCCCCTCCTCTCCCCACCTCCTTCCCAACGCCCCTCCTTTCCTCCCTCCTCGCCTTAGGTCCCCCCGTCTCGCATTCAAGTGCGATGCTCGGCCGCGGATTCGTCAAGCGGCCACGGCAGGGCGAGCAGGGAGGCGCAGGCCGCCAAGGAGGCCATGGAGATGCTGTGGCGCTCGCACAGCGGAGGCAGTGCTGCTGACGGGCTGAATCCAAACGGGGTGAACCACAGCGGAGGAGTGAGCCACGGTGGGATGCAGCAGGCTCACGCGCAGCCGCTGTCCATGCCTGCCGGGGGGTTTGAGTATGGCGAGGAGGAGGGGGAGGGTGCGGGCCCAGGGGGGTTCACCCCAGAGAGCGTGCGATCGCTGCTGGAGGCTCTTGAACTGGAGGCGGCAGAGGAGTCGAAACACGCGCTCAGGTGAGCAGCACGCCTTCAAGGGAGCAGTCAGCACAGCCTGAGATGAGCAGCACGGCATGCGGTGAGCCGGGAGGCTTTTTTTTCAGACATGGAATTGACACGACAGCCTGCCAAGTTGACTGTGTTCCTCTTCTCCCTCCCCCTTCTCATTGCAGCAGCATCGTGGACTGGGTGCTGTGGGCGCGCAAGAACAGCTACCAATCGTCCTCCTCCTTCTGCCTCCCCTCCCCTTCTATCTCCACCCCCCTTTATCCCCCCCATGGCAGCATTATGGACCGTATGCTGTGGGTGGACAAGAGCAGAGATAGCCACCCTAACCTTTCCCCTCCCTTCCCCATGGCAGCATCGTGGACCGGGTGCTGTGGGTGGACAAGCGAGTGCGGGACTACATGACGCCCAACCCCATCTGCCTGCACCGCGACATGTCGCTCCGCGACGCTGCTCAGGTGAGACAGGGAGAGGCGGGTCAGGGGAGGGAGAGGCGGGTCAGGGGAGGGAGAGGCGGGTCAGGGGAGGGAGAGGCGGGTCAGGGGAGGGAGAGGCGGGTCAGGTGAGGGATAGGCGGGTCAGGGGAGGGATAGGCGGGTCAGGTGAGGGATAGGCGGGTCAGGGGAGGGATAGGCGGGTCAGGTGAGGGATAGGCGGGTCAGGTGAGTGTGAGAGGGGCGGGTCTGGTGAGGGTGAGAGGGGCGAATCAGAGTAAGTGGGACAAGAATGCTCCCCTCTCCCCTCTTCCCCCTCCCGTCTCCCTTCTCCCGCCTGCCCTCTACCCACTCTCCTCTCCCGTCTCCCTTCTCCACACTCCCTTCTCCCCTGTTCCTTCTACCCACTCTCTGCTCCCCTCTTTCCTTGCTCCCCTCATGCCTGCCATACTCAACCAGCAGGCTCCATCCGTAGAGGCGGAGGAGGAAGAGAGTGCAACAGGGGGAGATCAAACATGCCTCCCCTCTTCCCTCCTCCCTTTTCTCTCCTCTCTCCTATCTCCGCTCTCCTCTCCTTTCCGCCCCTCTCCTTCATCGCATCAGCATACATCTGTGGTGGAGGCAGAGGAAGAGAAGAATGCCACAGGAAGATCTCTAAACTTCATCCCTCCTCACCCTCTCCCTCTCCCCTTCTCGTCCTGCCCACTCCCGCTTCTCTCCCATCGGCCTTCGTCACATGCAGGTTTCCTGCACCATCGCATCATTGGGGCTCCAGTGGTGTAGGCGGAGGAGCAGGGGAGTGCCCCCAAGGTTGGTCAAACATGCCCCCCCTCTCCCCTCCTCCTCCTCCCCACTCCGTTGCTCACATGCAGATTTTCCGGCGCCATCGCATCAGCGGGGCGCCAGTGGTGGACGCGGACGAGGAGGAGGACGGGGTGGGGGTGGGCAAGGTGGTGGGCGTGCTGTCTCAGCGCGACATCATGTGGAAGGAGCTGCGCACGCATGGCATGGTGGGTGGCATATGCGTGTGACATTCTGGAGAGTTCTAAAAAAGAGTGTGACAGTGTGGGGCTGGGCATGCTGGTATGTGTGCTCTCTCAGCGCGATGTCATGTGGAAGTAGCTCAGGACGCATGGTGGTGAGTGGTGTGGAGTCTGCATCCTTCCACGTAATTTTCAATGCATAGCATGGTGGTGGTGGTGGTGGTGGTGTGCATCTCAAGCATGCTAAGGTGGTGCCCAACTCTTCATGCAATGCTGGAAGCCGGAGCTCTAGAGTCAGCCTGAACTGCTTTGCTACCCCTTCCTTCACACGCGCTAGCAGCCAAATGCCCCCTGAGACCAGGACCACCTCAGATAGGGTTTCAACTTTTGAGGCGCCTCAAAATTGGAGCCCGGCGAATCACCAGACCAGGACCACCCGAGTTAGGGTTTCAGGCTCCTTGCCGTCTTCAAGGCTCCCCCATGCCGGCCATACTCCCTTCTGCAGGCGGGCGGAGTAGGAGTTATCAAAAGCGACTGCCGTGTGTGATTTTGCGGCGCCTTGCGAACCACCAGGACCATCTCAACCAGGGTTGCACACTCCCTCCCGTCTTCAACCCCCCTCATGCCCCCATGCCCCTCATGCCACCATGCCACCATGGCATTATGCCACCACGTTCCCCCCACTGCAGGCGGAGGAGGAGTTTCTACGGCGCCTGGCCAACTACCAGGATCATCTCAACCAGGGGCCTCGGGTGGACAAGCTGCGCCAGCACCTGAGAAAGGCTGCTTCACTGCGGGTGAGTGGCATGGGATGCCGGAGAGGAGGGTGAGGGTGGGTGATTCAGAGAGTGGGTGGCGGGAGGTGAGGGAATGAGAATTACCAGGACCAAGTCAACCAGGAGCTGCGTGTGGACAAGCTTTGGCAGCACCTCAGGAAGGCTGCTTCCCTGCGGTTCAGTGGCGTGGGCTGAGCTGGCGTGGGCTGAGCTGGCGTGGGCTGAGCTGGCGTGGGCTGAGCTGGCGTGGGCTGAGATGTATGGTGAGTGGGTCTTGGGAGCTGTTGAAACCCGTTGCTCGCATAGCCTAATCGTTTCATGTGACATGTGGTGGACGCATGTGGGACGGGATGTCATCATCGTCTGCCCTCTCACGCATGGCATCTTCCCTGTCGCGTGCAGGTGGAGGAGCTTGTGGCTTGCCGGACTCTCATGCTCTCAAACCCCAACCCCCGCCCCCCCATGTGCCCTGCTGCGTGCAGGTGGGGGAGTGAATGACAGCCCGAGGCTTCCCGAGGAGTGATGCTCTCTCTCAACCACCCCCCGTGCTCCTCCTCATGTGCTCGCAGGTGCAGGAGTCGATGACAGACACGGTGCTGCAGGTGGAGGAGGACTCTAATGCTCTTAGCCCCCCCCCCCCCCCCCCACCCGCATCTGCAGGTGCAGGAGTCGATGACAGACACGGTGCTGCAGGTGGAGGAGGACTCCTTTATGGTGGACGCCACGGAGATCATGCTCAACTGCAATGTGCGTATCGGCAGCATGTATGATGAATGACGGATGTTGTATGATGTATGTTGTACAGTAAGTCATGCCTGAATCCAGCATGGGTTATGTTCATGGTGGACGCCACGGAGATCATGCTCAACTGCAATGTGCATACAATAAGTCAATGTCGTTCATGTAGTGTAGTCTCTGTTATTAATGTACAGTAAATCATGCTTATGTCAAATATAGGAGATGCTCATGGTGGATGCCGCCGAGATCATCCTCAGCTGCAATGTGCGTATCATGAAGTTAATGTTGTTCATGCCCATGTTCTACTGGTCAGATACGATGCAGTCTGTGAGTCTATCTTATAATTGTAGTGTTACTCTTCTGGTTTTGGCTTCACTCCGGTTGTGTTACAGTGTCCATTCATCCCTTTTCATGTCTGCGCCTTCACACTTGCGTGTGCACCCTCTGCACATCGCTCTCCCACGCTCACGCCTCATCTCTGCACTTGCCGGTCCCTGCCTCCTCCCTACTTGCCATGCTCCATGCGGCACACCGCAGGTGTCTCGCCTGCCCGTGGTGGCTCGGCTCCCTGATGGGCGCAGGACGCTCACCGGCATCATCACATGCAGCGACATTCTCAGGCACACTCTCCTTCTGCTATAGAGGTGGATACTCAGAATACATTATAAGGCGTACGTCGCAGCTGCTCTGCTACCAAGCCAAATCCACTCACATTTTTGGATAACCGGCACACTCCCACCGGCATCATTACATGCAGCGACATTCTACGCCACACGCTGCTGCTATTGAATGACCCTCGAGGCGGCGCTTTGAAGGACAATCCATTGCACGCGCTGCTGTTGCTGCTAGTGGCGCATCTGCTACCATGCGACGCCTGCCTTCCCAATCTAGTTTGCCACCTCACTCTCATCCACATTATCAGCTGTAACGACATTCTCAGTCACATTGCTGCAACGACATCACATTGCTACCACCGCTGCTGCTTTAGGGGCTTGTGGTGCTTTGGAAAAGCTTCAGCCACATTGGCCTTCCTGATCGCCACCACACTCTCATCGGCATCATCATCTACAGCAACGACATTCTTAGCTAGTGGTACGCTACTCCTGCTGCTGATCTACTTTCTCGCTCCGCTTACAGCTGCTGTGTTGATGTGCATTGGAGTTGTCCCGAGACCGAGATCCATCTGCAGCAGCTGCAGTGGAGATGCCTCGTGCTGCTTCGAGCAAGCACTACTGATGCTTCAAACATTCTCTGTCGTTTCAAACCATGCCTTCCCACTCCCCAGGCACGCCACTGCTGCTGCATTTGCTGCCAGTGGTGCTGTCACATTGAGACATACTACATAGTCCTCCTGTTGCACGCAGACTTGCTTCTTGAGAAACAACCTGCAACTCCTACGACTGCATACAAAACAGCAGCTTATACCGGTAGCCACAAATCCACCCTGTGTGGATTTGTGTCTGTGAAGGGAAAGCATAGCATCCTCTTCATGGCATGGATTTCATAAAATTCTGCTTCCTGCTGCTCTTGTTTAAGCCTAGGAGACCCACTCCTCCTATAGTGTGTGTACCGTGTATTGCAATATTTTGTCTTTCTCTTAACACGGCCTGTGTATGTTTAGAGTTTAGATAGAAGCATAACCGCTCGGTCACATTTGAACATCCAAGTCAGTTGTCTATCTTGCTACCTTAGCTTAGACACGCCCCAGCCTATCTAGTAATACAACCATAGTCTGGCACACCCATAGGCTAAGTGAGGGGCATCAAAGCAAGCAAAGAAAAGAAATGGTCACAAGACCAGGCAACAAGACAAAGCTCAGGGTGGATCACAAAGTCACCATACAGTCAGGCCCTCAGATTCGTTTTGGGGCACGCTGATCGCTCAGTGTCCCTTGAAGGCCAACACTGATTTTCAGTGTCGTCGTGTTGAAAACACTGATTTTTCAGTGTACAAAAAATATTAAGGCTGAACAGTCAGTGTTGTTATTCACTGTTACGTTGATGATTATCCCTGTACTCGTCAAGGGACTTTGCTTAGCGAGGAATTTGGGCAATCTTATCGCTCATGGGCTCAATCATGGCGAAAACGCACTGTAGGTACCGTGGTTGGCTGCCTAGGTAGCTAGTCACGGCGCCAATCACGGCGAAAAGGCAAGACAGGAATTTCAGATTCAGGGTCGCACTCGATATAAACACTGAAAAAACAGAGTTCGAAATAAAAAAACACTGAAACATCAGGGTCGTAAAAAAAAAAAGGCTGATGAATCAGGGTCATGATAAAAAACGAGGGTCAAACTTGTCAGATTTATATGACAGAGCTACTGTAGGCTATAGTGGGGTAGCACATATGGGGTACAGTTTTCTAGGGTTTGTATTTGTACCCAACTTTCCCTTAGTCATCCCCATTCCTGTTTTCTTAATTCACATGGTATAGAGCGGATTCCTACATGGGACCGTTCCTTCCTAAGGGCCCACCATAACGATTTTTTTTTTTTTTAGCTGCCCGACGCGCATTGCGCCCCTGCCCTAATTTTTTTTTTTAGCGCCCCCCCCCCTAGCGGCCCCTACGCGACCCCTACGCGGCCCCTACGCGGCCCCTACGCGGCCCCTACCTGGCCCCTACGTCGCCCCTGACGCAACCCCTACGCGGCCTCTGACGCGGCCCCAACGCGGCCCCTGACGTGGCCCCTACGCGGCCCCTGACGCGGCCCCAACGCGGCCCCTGACGCGGCCCCAACGCGGCCCCTGACGCGGCCCCTACGCAGCCCCTGACGCGGCCCCTGCCGCGGGCCCTGACGCGGCCCCTACGCGGCCCCTACGCTGCCCCTGAGGCGGCCCCTGACGCGGCCCCTGACGCGGCCCCTCCGCCGCCACTACCGCGGCCCCTACGCCGCCCCTGACGCCGCCCCTGACGCGGCCCCTGCCGCGGCCCCTGACGAGGCCCCTGACGCGGCCCCTGACGCGGCCCCTGCCGCGGCCCCTGACGAGGCCCCTGACGCGGCCCCTGACGCGGCCCCTGCCGCGGCCCCTGCCGCGGCCCCTGACGCGGCCCCTGACGCGGCCCCTGCCGCGGCCCCTGCCGCGGCCCCTGACGCGGCCCCTGACGCGGCCCCTTCGCCGCCCCTGCCGCGGCCCCTACGCCGCCCCTGACGCGGCCCTCTCCTGCACCTGACGCGGCCCCTAGCGGCCGGCCGCTGCCGTCCCTGAGGCAGCAGCCGCCGCCGTCTCTGCAGCAGCAGTCGCAGCCGAACGGCCGAGCCGCCGAGCCGCCGGGCCGCCCAGCAGCCGAGCCGCCCAGCAGCCGAGCCACCGAGCCGCCCAGCAGCCGAGCCGCCGAGCCGCCGAGCCGCCCAGCAGCTTAGCCGCCGAGCCGCCCTGCAGCCGAGCCACCCGAGCCGCCCTGTCCGGTAAGAGCAGCGCCCCTTTCACAGCACTGCCCTCACCCTACTGTTTGCGCTGCTAGTCTACTACTGTCATGGCTACCCCTAGTGTCCTCGCTTTTGACGCTGAGGGTCGGGCCATTGACTTTGATGTCTGGATAGATGACCTGCAGCTTTTCTTACAGTGCGACAGGGCAGACGGCCTCTCCCTCTTTGACCTCACTTCTGGTGCCTCTCCTGCCCCCGCTGCTGATGCTGACGCCACTGTTCGCTCACAGTGGGCCACGCGCGATGCTGCTGCACGTCTTGCTGTGCGTCGCCACCTGCCTACCTCTGAGCGTGCGCACTTTAGCCAGTACAAGAGTGCTCAGACCTTGTACGACGCTGTAGTTGCGCGCTACTCCTCCCCTGCCACTGCTGCACTGAGCCGCCTCATGCTACCGTACCTCTTCCCTGACCTTGCTGCCTTTCCCACAGTCGCTGACCTCATTACGCACCTCCGCACTAGTGACACTCGCTACCGCGCTGCGCTTCCTGCTGAGTTCTGCGCCAAGAACCCCCCCCCCATGTACATCACCCTCTACTACATAGTCACCCGGCTCCCTGACTCCCTTCGCGTAGTCAGGGACCACTTCCTCTCAGTTTGCCCCACCAATCTCACCGTTGACCTCCTCGAGAAGTCCCTCCTAGCAGCAGAGAAGAGCATAGTCGCTGTAGGAGCCTCTCGTGGTGACCCTCGCACCCCCATCTTTGAGGGGTGTTCCCCCTCCCCCCTTTTGCCCTCTGTTGCCTCTGCTGCTGCGGCCGACCTCGTTGGGCTTGAGTCGGTCGGTGCGGCGTCTACCCCTAGCGGGAGACGTCGCCCTGGCAAGGGCAAGTGGGGCAGGGGCACTGGAGGAGCTAGCGGGGGCGGTGGAGGCGGAGGTGGAGGCGGTGGAGGGGGTGGGGGTGGCGGTGGGGGTGGTGGCGGGGGTGGAGGTGTCGGTGGCGGCAGTGGAGGCGGAGGCGGAGGCGGCGGTGGCGGTGGGAGCGGAGGTGGCGGCGGTGGAGGAGGAGGCGGCGGAGGAGGTGGAGCTGGTCGGGGTGGCACTGCGCAGAGGGTCGGCTCCGGTGGTGGTCAGCGCCAGCAGCAGCAGCAGCAGCGCACTCGTGACATCCCCTCCCCTCAGCAGCTCCGTGAGTGGTACACTGCACGCCAGAGGGGTTGGGGTACTGGTCCGTGCACCTACGTCCTCCGCACCGGCGACCGCGCGGGTGGCCAGTGCGGGGGTGCGCACTCCACACAGCGCTGCTTTGGCCGCCTGACGGACGCTTGGCGTCACCAGTTCCCTGAGGCCACTAAGATCCCCCGCTGGGATGAGCTGTCTAGGGCGGGTGTAGCTGTCTTTGACCTTGACTTTGATGCTATTCTTGCTGCCATGTATACTGTGACTATTAGTGATGAGGGTGACTGTTACCGGTGTTTTCCGCCCGACCCGGGCATTGAGACTGCTGCTCTAGGTACTGGTGAGGCTGCTGCTCTAGGTGCTAGCGAGGCTGCTGCTCTAGGTGCGTCTGCTCCCTCAGGTGCTGGTGAGTCTGCTCTCTCAGGTTCTGCGTCGGCTTCGGCCTCCCACACCTTCACCCTTGACTCGGGGGCTTCTCGCTCCTTCTTTCGAGACCGCACCACACTCACGCCGCTTGGCCGGCCAGTTGCAGTCTCTCTGGCAGACCCCTCTGGGGGTCCTGTCCTTGCTCACTTCTCCACTGTCCTCCCGTGTCCGGCGGCCCCCTCTGGCACCCTGTCTGGTCTTTACCTCCCCTCGTTCTCTACGAACTTGGTGAGTGGTGCTGACCTACAGGATGCGGGGGTTCACCAGTTCACTCCTGCGAGTCAGCGGGTGACCCACTGCACGGACGCTCGGACAGGCCGACACCTGGCCACGTTTACACGTCGGCCGGGGTCGAGCCTGTACACACTGACCACTGCGTCTCCTCCGGTCACTGCGTCTGGTCAGGTAGCTGCGTCAGGTCAGGTGTTTGCTGCAGCGTCCAGGTCTGGTCCTGAGTCTGCCCCCTGTTCGTGTCGCCTCCTGTCTCACGACACTCTCCTCTGGCACCACCGCCTTGGTCACCCCTCCCTGCTTCGTCTCCGAGGCATGGCCTCCCGTGTCCTTGTCTCTGGTCTTCCCCGGTCCCTCCCTCCCCTTCCTCCGGGGCCTGGCCCTACCTGCGTCCCCTGTGTCGAGGGGCGGCAGCGGGCTGCCCCTCACTCCTCCCAGTT